TTTGTCAAAGAAAAATTAAAATTTAAATAAATGATACTCCGTACCACTTTAACATCTTTTATATGTTTAACAACTATGGTAGATCCACCTCTTTATATTGATCTTATTTACTAGACCAGTTAATTCCCTATCTTTCAATAGGCACATGTGTTCTTTACTACCAAGGGGCTTTCGTAGTAGAGATCACGAATATATGCTAATAAAATACCTTTGAAGAGGCTCACCCAGAAGATGTTCAAAAACCATTGAGATCCTTGATGGTATTCTATGACAATGAATATATAGCTTATAGGTAGCAATTTGTTTCTTCATGTCATTTGTATCATTTGTTTCATCTAAGACATACTTTGTGAGGGCCTTAAATAATTTATATTGTGAGGGCAATCTTTAAAATTTCAATATATTTTTTACTACTTATAAATATTTATACATATTTTATGCATTACAAATTTTTTCTTGAGGAGCCGAACCCCCCTCCAGTCTCCCCTGTCTTCACTCCTAGATTTTAGTGCTTCATATATATACAGGTTACCTCTCGGTTGGATAGTCAATCATGACATTCTTCCGTGACAATTCAAGATCACTTTAGCCTTTCATCCAAAAAAATAAATGACTGAATGACATAACAAACATAGTATAAGTAATTTAAGTTAAAGAGTAAATGACTGAAATTAACATTTCAACTCAGTATTAGCTGAAATGAGCATTGGCACACAAGTAACAAATCATGGAAAGAGTAGCTGGGTGAAGGAAAGCTCCACACTTGAAATGTAATAAAGGTAAAAAGGGGTTGATCAATTATACAATCAACCATATGCATGTCCATATTAGAGTAAAGATTTGAAGAAGTACGTGGAGCATTGGTAAACATATTGGAGAGGTGATGTTGTAAAATTGAGGAAGTTTTATTGAGGGAGTTTTTATGCATTAAATCTAACGGATTAGAGAAATGATGCAAAATTAATTGCGACCGTGAAAGCTAGAACTAGAATTGGGTGTGAAAGTAGTGAAACACGCGTGTAAATAATATAGGGAGTTAGTTTAACAAACTAAATTGTGGCGTTGTGGATAAAATCAGAAAAATGATCTAAAGTATGAAAGAAAATATCTAAAATACAAAACATTTTTTATAGTTTGATGAGAAAAGCCAGCTCAAGAATATCACCACAATAAAATATGTTTAGTGCAAAAATATTGAACTCACTCTTCAAAAAAACAAAAACTAAATGCACCTAAATGAAACAGAACATTGCACATTTACTTTTCATGTTTTTAAATGAATTGATTTCGATCTATTTCCGATTAAATCACATTTTAACATTTATAAAAAACACATGAAACATGAAACATATATGATATATGACCACCAGTCCAAACAAGATTCGACTCAAATAAATTGGACCATATCAAACTACATATACTAGACAAGAGCACAAAATTCTAGTTCAATTAAAAGCATTTAATTGTGAAGGCATCGTATCGCGCATATCTGATATGTTCCTGATACTGACTTACTTCGTATTTGATTTTATCTGATGTGTTGCGGATACTCACTTATTAATTAGAAAAATGCTACACGTGAAAAAACATAAATACGGAGGCGATCTAATGGTATTTAACCTAGAGTTTCAAATATGAGTACTAAAGTTTTTTATCAAGTCAAATTTTAAAAATGATTATGAAGGTTTGGTACTATTGTTTTTTTAATTAATTATTATGAACATTTAATTTGAATTTATTCATTTTGTTAATGTTTTTTGTGCTAATTAAGCCTAGCGCTATAGTTTTATTATTGTTGTGTGACTGTACCATATTTGTGTAATTGTGTATCAAACTATCAATGCAACATATTGGAAAGTGAGTAAGATTTTAAAAACTAAAAAGCATAATAATTCACAAACAAATTAAATAAACAGGCAAGAGATTAACGTACGTACGTCTCCTACGTAACAGTCATGCACTAAAAACTAATCCATCGCCACAATTATAGCTTACCTCCTTTTTACTCAGTCTTTTCTCACCATATTTACACACTCACTCAATATTATCAAACAGTAAAAAATAACAGACTTTGTACAAATGGAGCACACACACAACAAACAACATACTCTCCACATCTTCTCTTCATCACCTTAATCACTCCCTGTGAAGCATTTCATTCCTCCTAATCTCTCATCAATCCCAAAACCAAAACAAAACAAAAAACAAAACCACATTAAAGCAAAAAAACAAAGAAAAAGTTCTCCTATATAAAAATTGAGATCAAGGAGGCATATGCAATGTACTGAATCTTGTGGTGGTGATAGCGGACGAGCGGTCGGGGATGACACGGAAGGGAGGGACGAGCCAGGCATGCGCGTCGTGCAAGTACCAAAGGCGACGGTGCACTTCAGACTGCCCGTTGGCACCATACTTCCCAGCGGACCAACCCGACATGTTCCACAACGCGCACCGCTTGTTTGGGGTAAGCAACATAACCAAACTACTAAAACAGATAGAGCCTAGCCAGAGAGGCGTGGCGATGAAGTCTATAATAGAAGAAGCCAACGCGCGGGCGAAGTATCCGGTGTACGGATGCGTGGCGGAGATTCAACAGCTGATGTTCAAGATCCAGCTGGCCGAGGAAGAGCTCATGGCGGTCCACTCCCAATTGGCTTTCTACCAACAGCAAAACCAACAACACCATGATTCTAATAATTCTCTCCTGCCCTCCTTACAATTAGGAGCGCCATCGACACACGTGAACAACAATGTTGTCGTTCCTCATCCTCCTCCTCTTCATCCTCAGTACTGCAATGCGGGAGCGGCTATTCCTGTTTCTCATGCATCCTCTTACTCCCTAACAGGCGGTTACGCCGATTATTCGAACGAAAACTCTTGGATCCAAGAGCAGAATTATGGGAATGGCATAAATGGACATCATCTACAATATAGCTCCTATAATAATAACAACAATAACCAGATGATGATTCAAGAACCTGAAATGGGGCTGGGATGTGGGGCTCCACAACAGCAGCCCATCACATTACAAGTGCAGGTGGATGAAGATGATTATGATGAGATGATGCATCCATTTTTTGATACTATTGATGACAGACAATCATTCGTTGACTCCAAAGAACCATTTGAATCAAGGTATGTATTTAGTAAACTCTACGTAGGATGTATGAATGTACATAAAATTGACATGAGAAAATTAGCTAAATAGTGACTTTAATGCACCAAACACTAGTACTGTGTATTACATTGTGGGAGTGTATGATTCTAAATAATGATAGGGAAACATTACCTTGAATTGATGACAGAAAAGTGATTGAATTTGGGAGAAAGAGCATATTAAGAAACTATGATAATGACATATATATGACTGAAATAAAGATGAAGGTGATTCTTGCAAGTTGTAATTATTTATTGTGTTTCTATGTCACGAATTACGTGACATCCCAAAGCCTTTTCCTATTAGAAATTTCCGATGGTTGCAAAATGCAATCCGTGAAGATCCATCATTTAGAGTGTTAATGATAAATGAAACTAAAATTCACTGGGAATTTTGATGAATCGATGAAATCTTTAATGAATGATTGATATATGTTGCAAATGTTTTACGACTGACTGATCGATCAATTCCATTTTAGAGAAATTAAATTTTGTAAAGATCAACATCCTCACATTCCATGCCATATACTTTGTATATAAACTATAGAAAAATAGTGTCATATTGGGGTTATAGTGCTCTGTAGTAATGCCTCAACTCCTTGATGTCATAAGGTAACCCCATTTCAGGGGAATACAATACTCTTACTTAGGTAAAACGTCTTGTTTTTTTTATATCTTATTTTAGGAAATTTATGAAGACAACATGTACTTATAGATGTCTATAACTCTATATTATTTATTGTGCAGTTCGGAATCATCTTTGAAAGATATAGCCCAATCGGTGTCCGAGAACGAACTCAAGAGTGCTGCAGCTTGTTTCACTCTCACTAGTATCAACGTATAGAATTGAATCAAGTCACACCACATATATATACATTCTAGCTATGTGATCGAGATTGATTGTAAAAAGAGATATATAAAAGAGTGAATGATCAAATGATCTCATTCTAGCTGGAGCTATTTTATTGTTCACTTCACGCAGAAATAAAAAGAATATGAAGTAGTTCCCCTATCATTGCTATTCTCTGGGACCTCAATCTCTACAGGATCATTGCTTATTTTTACCTAAATATTGAATTTGTTGTGCTGCCGGCCTGTGGTGAAACTGTGAGTTACGTTCATTGATTTTTTTTATTCATGTCCTTCCTTTCATAATCATTAGAGTAGAGTCGAATTAGATGCATTTCTTTTGGAAACGTATGCGAGTTTGGGAGGTCATCGTTGCAAAGTTTTAATTTAATGAAATGAATAAAAGTTAAAAGGTAAAATAGAGAATAAATAAATAAATTTCAATCATAGTAATCTGTCATGTTTTGATTGGGAATGAAGATTGAATGATGGTTGAGATCTATTCTGAACAAAAAACAGTAACTTTATTAAAAAGGAACGATGGATAAAGGGCACTATAATTTTAGAACCAATCGCAAATAAAGTTATTGTTGTTGTTCTATACTTCGTATATACTATGTATTAATTACATTACTACTTCTGTTACAAAATGAAAGTAACATTATAGAATACAAGATTCATTAGTTGGATGTCTAACAGTCTAAACAGTGTAAGTTCATCTTCAGGCTAATCTTTTGTTATTTACTTTTAGTTTCTAAGAAGTGGTGGCACCAAAAATGTTCAATTAGGAAACAGGGCTTAAAAATTTACTTATATTATTAGAGCCAGAGCTTAAAACTCTAACAAATGTTATAGTGTTATGTAGATCATAAATATTTATGAATATATATGTACATTAGATTTTTTTTTCTTGGAGACCAAGGTGTATTCCGCCTCTCCCTGTCTTCACCACTATTTCTGATGAGTCGGTACTCGGGTAGTTTGTTCTTTCTATCGTCGACACATACATTTTTTATTGGAACTCTAGTTTTCTAAACAATAAATATTCCAGAACCTGGGAATCAACATGTTATTATGACTTGAGTACCACTCCATTAACAACTACGTTCAACAACCACGGGGGCTCAATACAGAAAAATGTACAAAGGAAGCTTAATTCACAAACAAAATAACTCATAAAGAAAAAATTAAAATAGGGACACCAACAAAAAAAGAATAAAATCACAGGAGCACAAGTTGTCCACACTTTTCTTAGTGCTACGGGGAGATCTCGGTTTACCCAAAACAATGAACAAATTACTTAGCACTCACATCCAGATGGCCTCTGCTGGTTGCTGCTCCCGCCAACATCTATGGTGTCCGGCAAGTATCTTCACCACAAAAAATATCCCAAATTATCAGAACAGTTAATTTAATTACAACGGTATCAATTGATTACAAAATTAAGAGCCTGTGGTAACCCATTTTTTACCAAACACTGAACTTTTGATTTCACTTGATAAATTGTGCAATAATCATAAACACTAATCATAAGAAGTAATGTTGGAGTTACTAGATTCAGCTAGACATGCCTATTCAAACTTTTTTCATATAACTTTTCATTATTTTATAAATAAAATACATTTCAAATATAACTCATTCATAATTCAGCGCACATTTCAGACATAATTTCAGAAATCTCAATAGATTCAGCTGATTTAGCCAATTTTAGTGTCACAAATGGACTCTAAGACTTGGAATATTCATACTGGTAGAGAGCACCAGAAGTTGTTTCTAGTTCAATATAGTGAATATACAACAATCAAATAGCTCTTGTGGACATAACAGAAAGCAAAGCAATTTATTGGGCATTCTGATGTGATCTTTTAATAAAGATTTAAAGAAATAGAAAATTAAAAACATCTAGAATAGCACCAAGTCAATTAAAAAACATCCATATTCCAAGTTATGTGCACCAAGACAATTAAAAAGCCACCATATTCCAAGTTACACTATATTGCAAAGATGGATTTGGTTATAGACATAGGGGCTGTTTATAGTTCTCCCTGTTAAGCCTTAGTTGGATTAAGATATTTGTTTGTATCAATAAGTTTGTCTTTGTGTAACGGGTTCTTTACTTTAAGTAAAAATACTATAATAGATTTAGAAGAATATTCCAAAAAAACTGAATTAGATGAAACAACAATTCAAGGTGTTTTCTTTTTTTGCTTCCTTATCAATGAGTACTCTCATTTATTAATATGTGTTCATGCAATCATGGATTCCTCTAAAAATGAATAAATTGAGGGTTGAATAAGAGGTAATAATATATATGGGCTCAAAATAAAGTCGGGTTTTGGTTGAGCATAAAAGTACGGAGTAATATTTTCAATTGAGTTGTAAGCAAACACAGTTTAATGGCTGAACAATTAAACCCTTGTCCCAGTTAATCCCATTACGTCAAAGGTAAACGCGATAGCCACTCGGCAAGTCAGCAAAAGTATTATATGAGTATGAGTTACACTTACATTTCTTCCTCTTCCCCAGTTTTTAGGGCATTCTGTGCAATGCATTGAAAAGCTGCTTCCACATTGATGCCATCCTTTGCAGAAGTCTCAAAGTACGGGATGTTCCCTTTAGTGGCACACCAAGCCTTTGCCTTCTTCTCAGATACCTGAGCATCAAGTTGAAGGTGAAAGCAATGAAATCATCTAAAATATTGCAAAACTGTATGAACAATTAGTATGGGATCAGTTAGAAAGTTCACCACTCTAGAGTTGCCCCCATCAACATCAACTTTGTTGCCAATCACGACAAATGGAAAATTTTCTGGATCAGAAGGACTTGCCTGTATTTATACAAAAGTTCCAATTACTTTTCTCTTTCAGCCCAAACTAAAAGCTACTCGTCAAAAAAAGGATCATGTGGTAATCAAAATTGTCAGAAAATATAGACCTGGGGCCAACGAGTAAATGGTGCACACATAATTAAAAAATCAATGACTGTTACCTGAATAAGGAACTCCTCCCTCCAATTGTTTAGGTTTTCAAAGGACTTCATCACATTCACATCATAGACAAGGACACAGCAATCTGCACCTCGGTAAAAGGCAACCCCCAGACTCTGAAATCTCTCCTGACCAGCTGTATCCCATATCTAGAAAGGTACAAGAAAAACTCAATTTCATGATGCAATAATAGACTTCAATACTTCATACTTGAAAACAAGCACATGTTAAACTAGTAAAATTGTAAGTTCACGGGTTATTTGATTTAAAAGTTTTAAATTTCAAATTCTCAAGTTATAATATATAATCTAGATGACATTAAAAAATGGTGTCTTTAAACCTACTGCCTTTAAATGAGAATCCCATTATGAGGGTTCTTCAAATTAGGTGACTGAGTTCGAACTGTCAAAACAGAGTTACTGCATATAACTGATATTAGAGCTAAAACAAATGCAAGGAGCTGAGATTTACACCAAGTATCAGATTGAATCTTCCAACAAAAATAAAACAAATCCAACCTGATGGATAACATAAGAGATTTGTTAGGACCTTCTACTGGATTTCAAAGAGAATCTCATCATGACGGTTATTTCAAGTTAAATTACAGCATTCAAAATTATCAAACAGAACCATAGTACATAAGAGGCAAACCAAAAACAATGGGTTAGGATTCTCACCACGTCCCAGATTTAATTTTTCAAAAAGGATAAAACAAATCAACATTGTAACCTGAAGGATAACTTCAACATCAAAAATCAACAATGTATATAACTGAGTTGAGCGACTAAACATCCAAACGCCATCTCACTAACCTGTAAAGTGAATAGCCTGTCTTCAAACTGCACTTCCTTGGTCAAGAAATCAGCTCCAATGGTGGCCTTATACTGATTGCTGAACTTCTTATTTACATATCTATTATCTTCATTAAAGGCACACAACAAGCACAAGTGATCCAAAAAAATGGGATTGAGGGGAAAAGAGTAACGAACTGTTGTACTAAGTCCCATTTATTATCGGAAAAAACAAGAAATTAGCAAGACATGAGGATACTGATTCATCAACGAGGTCTTGCCGACCCTGCAAATCATACACGAAGAAGAACAACTCTATGAGAATAAAGGAACAATATATACAAAGCATACTCAAATATATATCATTCTAAATCATGATTCCTTCAATCAGAAACATATAATTAAAGAAGAATTTACATCCAATAAGCTCACCAATTGCATGTTTAGGATGCCTTATGATGTGCTTTTTTGAGAGGAAATATTATGAACTTGAAAATTCCATAGCTAAATAAGGGGTGACGTACTAACCCGCTGTCGCCGAGTATGATAACCTTCAAAAGCGTTCTTCTTCGGGAAGGCATCTTGAAGGGTATTGATTCGGGTTCGAGATGAGCCGATCTGTACGGTCTCAGGGAAAGGCCACAACTTTTTCTAGAGAGAGAGCGCACCAGGGCGTACCAAACAGACAGTTGGCAACGATGATTCTACTGTTTTTACTAGGAACAGTCAATTAGGTTTCATAATGATTCTGTAAGATTATCTGTTTATTTGTCATTAAGTTAGAGCCCGTATGGTAGCACGAAAATCGGCTGTTTTGGCTGATTCTGCTGAAATTTATGAAGTTCTGGCTGAAGTAGCTGCTTTGGCTGTTTATGCTGATTTAAGTAAAAATTATTTTAAAAATATATTTTATTAATAAAATAAAGAAAAAGTTATATGTAAAAATAGTTAAAATGGTAATCTACAGTAACTTCAGCCAATACAGCCAGAAAAGTAACTCTAACATTACTTTTTCTGCTTATACACAATTCGGCGCGCGAAAGTAAAGTTACGTGTTTGGTGAAAAAGTTGGCTGATAAGCCTGATAAGCGGTAAAAGGATGTGGCCAAACGGCCTCTTAATCCAAAGCCCAATTTTGTTTGAGCTTTTCGGGTTTTTTTAAATGGAACTTTTTTAATTTGATCCTTTAAAACATCTCTTTTAAAATTAATTAAATTCGTTTAGAAAAATATTTTATGATTTATACTCATCGTTGATGAAATGGAAGAGTGTATCATATTGATATGTATGTCAGTTATTCTGAATGGTAAATTTTATTGAACAACAATTTAGCTTGCATTAATGTATGCGTAGAGTGTTCGACGGCAGATCAATGTCACATTCAAAAGATGAGTGTGACATAAATGTGAATGTTGTGCTAGATGTGTGCACATATCAGAAAAAACCATTTGAGAATTGGCATAATCAAACAAAATATGAGGGTAGCACCCATAGGCGATAACATGCAAGAGTCTCGATTTGGTTGTTTGGTCATGTGTGTAGAAGACCGAGTAATACACATGTTAGAAGACTTGAGAGGTGGGAAGAAGATGGGATAGTAAAGTGAGAAAAAGACTTAAGAGGTGATTCTCTTATCTCTTGGAAAAGTAAGAAATAATCTGTTGTTGCTCGATCTACTGCCGAAGCTGAATACCGTGCCATGGCACACGCTACCTCAGAAGTCGTTTGGCCTCGTTGGCTTCTCAGTTCTCTCGGATATGGGTGTCTCTATCACTTCTCCTACGCCTCTGTATTGTGACAATAAGAGCGTTATTCAGATTGCTCATAACTCTGTTTTCCATGAACGTACAAAGCACATTGAAATCGACTGCCATTTTATTCGATTTGGATAAGAGGGATCAAAACTGATGTGCATCTTCTTGGGTAGGACGCACATTCGTTTGAACGATTGATCTTTTTCTATCTTTTTCGTTCTTCATTTTCTTTTACCGTTTATCTTTTTATTCTTCTATATTCCTATGTTATTTTAATCTTTTATTGTTTCTTACTCTTTTATCTTTTTATCTTACTATCTATATCTTGTTATGCTCTTGTGTTATTGTTATTTTATATTTATATTTATTTTATCCAAATTTTCTTACTTTATTTTTTATTCATTTTTATTTTCTTTTCACTCTGATATCGATTCACATGTAGTCGATCTTAAAACTTTTTTTATTAAGGCTTGGGTGTGTTGTATTTATATTTATCGTTTCTTTTTTAAACACAACACTTTTCCGTTCACATTGAGTTAATTCCACTTTTAGTCAAAAATTTATGTCAAGAATACTTTGGATAATGGATATTGAGGTTTTGACTTTTTGTCATTTATTTTAATTATTGTGAGTTGGGCAATTGTATCCTAAAAGATTTAAAGTACTAAAATTCAAGTAGAATATATAATAAAGTATTAGTCTTTTTTTTATAAGATTGTATTTATACTTTGTTAGCCTTTCAAAAAAACATTGTTATTTCCTCTTTTAAGAAATATACTATTATTTTTCTCATATTTCAATCAAACAATTTTTACACAAAAAATCTTCACGTGTAAGAAATCAAGAATGCACGACTTAAAACATTAATTAGCATATTTAACTGGTTGTTAATAAAAACATAATTTCTTACTTTGTTATTTTTTTTTGAAAATTTCTTATTTTGCTATAGTAAATTAACATAAAATTCAATAATTAATTCTATAAATATGAATTTTCATAAGTTGATAAATAAACAGGGCCGGCTATAGGGGGAGGGTGCCTAGACACTTGTCTAGGGCCTCCAAATATTAGGGGCCTCCAATTTTTAAATTAAACCCATTAATATTATATATGTATAGTTTAATTTAGAAAATCTGTACTCCGTAAATATTGTGGACGAGTAAATGACTTGCTCTCTTATCTCCTTTGGCACAACAGCTCAACAGGCCACCGCATGATCAAAATTTGGGGATTAAATTTGTATTTATGAACCATCAACGTATTTAGTACTATTTTCAATTATATTATAGATTTTGTGATATGATGAAACGAAAACGAAAACATGATTCAGAATGTACAAAGTGAAAGAACAAATTAAGAATGAATTTTTGATCACAAAATCGCTTACCTGCTCTTTGAGAAAGAATATTCTCATTATGTTAATAGTATATGATGCATTTCATATGTACGTAATTTACTTCAATTTAATTGATATTCTATTTTTATATTATTATATTGAAAAAATGTATTTGAACAAAAAAAAATTATAAAAGTGTCTAGGGCCTCCTAATTGCTCTAGACGGCTCTGTAAATAAATCATAATCTAGTGCAATGATTAAATTGTTTCAACCAATAAAGATCAATATAGTATGAACTATCATTTTTTCATCTTCATATATAGCATTAACTTAACTCACTCCGAGAAAAAAGCAGGGAAAGGAAAATTTGGAGAAAGGGTCGAATTATTTTATTAAATGGACATTAGTTTGAATTCATCTCATTTTATTATTATGGGCATCATTCTAGCTCGAATTATTTTTATGAACGCTATCAATTTAAATTATTATTGTAAAATTCCTAAAAGTATGGATTATTTTTATGAATTTCACTAAATAATAATGAGTCTTATCATGAAGATTATTATTTCAATTTATTTATGATTTCATGAATAAATATCATATCATTCTAGTTGTGATTTATTTTGTTTATTAATTACATTTATCCCACAAAAGGCACAAAACATGTTTCTTAATTTTATTTTATTGTTTTGGGTACACGATTTGGAAAGTTATTTTCGTTTGACCAAAGTGGAGTTTCTTGGGCACCAAAAAGTCTTTCAAACAAGCCTTTTGTTTAGTGAGTGCCTAAATTTCAAATATTTAAAGCATATACTTCGTATATTTTTATATTAATTACATTCATAGCTTTTGACTTTAAAGGTAGATGTTCCTATTGTAATATCCGACACTTGCCAAAAACAACAACCATGTCTGTAGCAAATGGAGACCTAATTAAATAAGGTGGTAGGTTAACAATCGAAATTTTTATCAAGAAAACTGCCCTATAAGTTCAAAACAAGCACAGCTTTGTGGTCATTTTGTACTACTTACCTATCTCTAAATTTATATGCGAGCAATAGTAAATGTCCAAAAGAGTCACCAACCCATGGTTGAGTACGTGTTCCTTTGATAATACTACAAAAATCGGAGAATCAGCTGATTCTGCACGAAGATATTAAATTTGGGTTGTTTTGGGGGTGATTTATGCGAGAAAAAAATTAAAATATATTTTATTAATAAAAAAATACATGTAAAATAACTAAAATAGTCATCTACAATAATTTCAGTCAATACAGTCATAAAGTAAATTAAACCTTACTTTTTTCATATTATTACGCAATTCAGCGCACCAAATCAAAAGTTACGTGTTTGGTGAAAAAGTTGACTGATGTTAAACAAGATTACCAAACAAGCTCTCTGATTTTTTCATGGGCAAAATTATGGAGTTTTGGGCATAATTTGGGAGTTTTTTGTGGTTGCTTCTATTACAAAGTCATACGGAGTATTTAAAATAATTTTAGAGAAAGCGTTAAATATAAAAGTCAATAGTGTTTAATTAAAAATGATTTTGAAAAAAGAGAATTGATAATGTTTGATAAAAAATATTTTTTGTGTAATTGAAAAGGTGAAAACATTTTAAGGCTTTGTTTGCAAACAATTAATTTAAGTGTTTTTGGTTTTTTTTTTAGAAAAAAGCACTTATTTTACCAAACAATACCAACTTTTACTTTCTCGGTTTTCGTGTAGAATCTACTTTTTACTTTTTCTATTACACAAAAAACACTTATTTTACCAAACACTACCAACTTTTACTACTAATCACTTTTTTCCAAAAAGTGCTTTTATTTAAGCACAATCACTTGCAAACAGAGCCTAAAACACCTCGTGCCCACATGTTTCCAACTTTTAGTTTTAAGGGATGTATAGTACGAAGTATATGTATGGAGTAATTTGAGTTTGCACCTCATATTATTGTCTAAATTGGACTTTGCACCCCATTTTTTAAATTCTTCGTTTTTGCACCCCAACCCCATATGAAAAGACGAAAATGCCCCTCCATTAACAATTTTGTTGGCCTTCAACATATTACCGATTGAGGGCATTTTTGTCTTTTCATATGGGGTCAGGGTGCAAAAACAAAGATTTTTAAAAACGGGGTAGAAAGTCCAATTTAGACAATAATAGGGGTTGCAAACTCAAATTACCCCTATATGTACTGTAGTCGACTTTTTGTAATATTTGGAGTAAAATTGGAGTTCTACAAGAATACATCACGTATAAGCATCCAAATTTACTTTAATTAGAAAACTCAAAATTGAGAGGACGACCCACAAACCCTTTCTTGTTATGACTCATCATTATTATATTACACAAGTCAATAAGTAAAAATGATAATCGTTGCACAACTATTACATTCATTGATACATATGGTATGAGCGGAGATGTAAATATTTATTGGTTCGATGTTATGGTTTTAGATGTTAGCGCTTTAACAATGAAATGTTGATTGTTACATTCAATATAATACACCTAAACTTTAAAACTCGTGAGACTTTTAAAAACTTGCCGCTAATTCATTACGAGCTGAGTATTATACAATACACCCCCTTAAAATATTTAATATAAGCGAAGTTTTAACTTGAAACCAATTTCATCTTTTTAAGCAAAAGGATGTTTGTACATGTTTTGAAATTTTCTTGACTGATCTTCTCCGGTCTGATCTGGTCTGAATTAGTATGGCCTGGTCTGCTCTATTAAATGTTTGATCTTTGTGTACTAAAATTTATAACTTTCAAAATCTGGTCTAGTCTGATTCGATCAGGTCTGAACTGGTCTGGTCTAGTCTCAAACTAAAGTAAATCCAATAAAAACATATTAAAGTTGAATATATCTTTTTAATTTGTTGACACTCCCTTAATAAGCATTTGCAAACAGGTGATAACTATGTACCTATTGAGGACTTACTATGGAGGGAGTCTAGCTCCTCTCCATTTTTTCCTCTCCATTTTCCATCCATTTCTTTTTTTCTTCCTATTTATTTCTACCTTTTTCTCTATCTTACTCACCAACATACTCCACCATAATTTCTCTCCTCTCTATCTCTCCCCAACTGGAAGCATCCAGTTACTAGAGAGGATCCATATTCCTATTGAGGATGTTTTACTTGGACTTATTTCAATCTCACACTAGACCAGACCAAATCAGATCAAACTTTGAAAGTTGTAAAATACACAGAGACCAGGCATATATCTGACCAAACCAGACCAGAAATTTCCAATCCAAATGAAAGCATCCTAAAATGTTAAGATTTAAAGGAATACTACTTAAAAATGCAAAAAAAAAAAATGCAAAAAAAAAACTTAAAATTGCATGAAAAGGACTGCTTATAAAAGAATTAAAGTATTTAATAACTCATCTTTCACGAGCAAATTATACCACAATTTTCATGAAAACAATGAGTTATATTCAAAGAAATGTATTGCAGTCTATAGCTATTTATGGAAAATCCATTTTCTGTTTGGTTTTGCATGAAAAATACAAAACAATATCAACATGACAAAAAATCAATGCCCACACTAAAAGGTTCAATTTTGGCAAAAAAATATGACATTCACAACACTACTTAAGAGTTAAATGTCATGGTTGGCATTGAGTGCACCTGTATACAGCCAAGTGCAGTGTTATGGATGTTTGGTTATACTTGATGCATTCTGGTCATTGAATTACAAGGAAAATATATTGAGCATACCTCAACTACAACATCTGAGCCTTATTCCCAAAAGATTTTAGGGTTGACTAACATGCATCATAGTGCATCTAAAAGTGCACAAAAGATTTTGTTGCCAAAATCTGGAGAAGGATAAAGCGCTTTGTTGACAACAAAAATGGGCGCAAATGCACAACTCAAAGCCCGATTAAATTTGGTGTACAAACGCATGGCTCTTCTCAATGCTTAAGCTTCTGGTCAGCAGAATAACCAGAACATGTAGTTGTAGCATATGGGTTACTGAATGCTTTTTCTTCATAAAATCTACAAGTTTCACTGTTTCTGCCCCTTTACGGCTTTACCAAACGGGGCCTTTACATTTTGTTTTCTTAATTTAAATGTTCACTTCCTCATGTGGAGTTCTATGTACGAGCTTTTGTTCCTTGGTTTCTTATGGGAAGAAATTGTACGGTTTTGTCTTCGATTCCAGTATTTTGTAGTTCAATGCAATGGTAAAAATAGGGAAGATTAGAAGGCGAAAACACTTCACATTTATACACAGCTATTGAAAACTTCAGGCTTGTACATTTGTTACTGTCTTACTGATTCTATGTTACAATTAGATTGATTGGTTTCATTAATATTAATACAAGCATCTACCGGCAGCGGCTTGTCACAATGGTTGACACGTTCAAATCTCTGCCGTCTTTTCACTTCATCTTTAACCTTCAGATCAAATTCTTCATCTGTACTTGCCAGCATATGTCTCAGCTTAAAATTTATATTGTTCTCTACCAGGACTTTATGTCTTGGGATTATTTTTTTATCAAGGGAATAGCTGAAATACCTGCAAGAGATTCCAAAAATTCAAGCTTTATAAAATCTACTCCGCGTAATATATATATACAAAAAAAACTTTTCTGATACAAGTGATCAGTTAGGTAAATTCGTTAAAGTTAACCCAATCTGGTTCTCAAGTTTTTTTTTGAATTCAGTTCAGTCCTCAAATTTCTTCTGGATCCAACTTGGTAATTGACTGTGCAAATAAAACCAGACTCAATTTGGTCTTCATGCATATTGGGTTCTAATTAAGTTGAGATTTTCACAAGGTGAGTAAATTTCATCCAAATTACATTATTGAGGACTATATTGAATTGGGTCTAAATTTAGCTGACTGACAGAGTGACAGAAATACTTTTCTTACTCAGAATGGGAGTGGACTTGCAATCCCAATCCCGATTCAGGATAAAAACCAGATCAGGATTGTTACTAGATACCAGACTGATATTGCAGTGCATACTCAGAACCGGTACTGTTAAACCGGATGGGTCCCTGTAATAGAACTTAAACTGGTCGGTTCCCACATCCCAGTTTTTGCTTTAACATCTGGTCCAAAACTACTCCGTATTAAGAACCATTCTGGAAACCAAGCCAGAACTGTTAAGAAGGGGGCTTTCCGGTGACTACACATGGGCAACCCGAAACAGGGCTGTGTCCAGGGACTGTCCACCCCTACCTAGTTTAGAGTCAAATGGGATGCAGACTAAATTGGGCCAAAATTTCATTGTAGATACAACGACAACAATAACAAGAACAATGCAATTACCTTGGGAATTCAATTATATCCCTTAGAGGGCGAACCATGGTTCTCCGCAAGTATTGGTATTTAGGGCGAAGAACTTCAATATTGTACTGGAGAATCAATGGAAAGTCAGCAATCATTTCACCCAATTGCCAGAAGGGTATGCCGAGTGACAGAAAGTACTTCACGTTAAGATCCAATTTATGTGTGATGTTGCATCCCAATAGCTTCGGTGCTAAGGCTAATACCTTCCCAATATTTCTCTGGGAGACTCCAGCTTTTGTCAAGAGGAATATAACCTTTAGTCACACATATTTGTGCAATACAAACTTGTTACTGATGGATCTATCATTATGTGATTCAATCCAATAGGAAATACAGCAAAACAGAGGAATGGACAAACCGTTGGGCGTATTTTCTTCTCAAGACTATATGTCATTATCCGCGGGAACTGGACAAGCACGTCTCCAATAGCATCTTCCTGGACTCCTATATCTCTCAAAAACTGGACCTGCACATTAAGGGTTTGTTTGAAACTCGGGAAACATTGTTGGGGGTAAACATTTGTTCTAGCTCAAGAAATTCATTTTTGTAAATTTTCTCAATTGTATTTACCTATTTTTATGAAAAGACTAAAAGACCTAAACAAACACTGATTAAAAAAGAATTATTATAATTTTTCAATATCCGTGATCCAAACATATTAACAAGTGAGATAATAAAACTGGAAAGAAATGCTAGCAACAAATGATTATACCTTAGGCACAATGGTGTTCTCCAAGTCAATGCAGAACACTATTGGCGTGGTGACTAGAATTTTTCTCATTCCTTCTTTAGAAATCCCAAGGTAGTAGAAGAACTTCACAAGAGGTTTCAACTTTTCCTCGATGCTACAACCCATCAAATGTGGTTTGAATGCAATTAATCTACCAACATCTTCATTACTAAGGCCAAACTCCTTTAGATATGCAACCTGCTTGGAATTGTTTGCTTCAATATTAGAAAGGAAAAATCCCAAGTGTTGCAGAACTTTTTCTTAAGAAAATGTTTGGAACAATGAAAAGGTAGGGAAAGGTAAAAAACAATCAAGGCAAAGACTTTCTTTTGAAGAGAGTACAGCAAATAGGAGTAAACATCATGTGCGCAACAAAAGCAACCTTATAGTGTGCTAAAAATAGGACTCACCCAGCCTAATATAATAAAGTAGTTATTAGTTAACAATTCTTCTTTCATGAGTGAACCCATTTTAATGAAAAACAATGTCAGTTGTATTCAAAGAAATATGTTATGTTCTCGTCCTCATTGTGGGTTCTCTTTTTTTTGCTTGAAAAATAAAAAAATAAAATCAGAGTGCTTCAAGCTTCTCAACTTTTTACAAATAAGTTTGAACAAATATTTAAAAACATTTGATTGAGTTTGGACCCATTGTTTTACCCCTCCCCCCCCCCCCTCCATATTTTCATTCCTTCCATATTTCCATATATTTTCTTCTATGTTTTCTTTCACTGGGAAAGTCTTAGCAGTAAATGTTAAGAGAAAAGAGCTCAGCAAATGTGTACCTTTTGGTTCATCTCTTCCATACTTAAGTAGCCAATCACCTTAGGATAGTCAAAAACCATGGTCCCAAAATCCTTCTCATTCATTCCAAAATTCAGATAGAATTCAGTACGAGTTTTTAGTTCTTCCATGCTAAATGACAATATTTCAGGGCACCTGCTGATAATATAGCCCATCCAGTCCCTGCGCACTCCGTTTTTTTCCAAATACTCAATATTGTCATTCAATTCATCAAAGCTTCGATTAAAAATGTTACCCCCCGATCTCAGCATTGCAACTGCTATGAATTTTCCCTTCACGTGAACTGAATTTAACCACTCGACAAGCCTCCTTATGTGCATGACATCTCCTCTTGATTTACAGATAATGTTCCCGATTTGAGGAAATGATAATTCATTTTGTTTCAACCACCTATACAATTGGTCCAGGGTGAATTCCAGTGGCATTAAGAAAACCCACCGTTACTACAGAACAAACTTATAAATAATGATTAAAATCTTAGGGTCCTATAAATAAATAGGGAGCATCAATGAAATAAACTGATATAGTCAATACACTCATTTCAGATATCTGTTCATATTCTTCTATAATTACTTATAATTACACATATTGATATATATTACCAAAATAAAGATGGTGGACAAAATGTGACCACTTATATATACTATCTAGTGACTAACTGACTATATTAGTAACTTTTTGTTACAATAATTATGTTCAATTTTACCATAGAGTGTATATGATGTTACATTCCTAGTAACTATAGTCGAATTTTTGTTTAAGTGGAAAAAACCTTTTTAAAAACTTATTTATTTTGGTTTAAAATCTTACTAGTATTTATTTATTAGTCTGTTACGTATAAATACCAACAAATCGAAATTTATGTAAAATTTTGATTAAACAAACTAAACACTTTTTGTTTAACTGTTGCATTTTTCAAGGGCAAACCGAAACTTAAAAAACTTATTTTTCTTGGCATTTTTTCGTTTCCCTAGCATTTCCTCTGTTCAAACGTACCCTTAGTGTAGATAGTACGAAGTATGGCAAATGTACCTTATCAATGGCACGACTTCGGAATCATCTATGTATACCCTAGCTCGATGATTGAAAGATGAATGTGAGAATTCAGGCATTTGCTTCATTGAAGCAGCCTGGATCATCACATGATCTATGTAATCAGACAATCTGGACACCAAATTTCTTGCATAAGTAAGCCCGAACTTCCTCCTTTTCATCGCCTCCGTGAAAATTTCAGTGGTGACTTTTCTGCGTATTTCTAGGGCTTTAATAAGCATGTCTTCTTCATCTTCATTGCCACTTCGGTCATCAACCAGGACCCGAATAGGCGGAGACGAGGTATGGAAATCCGTAATTGAGCCTGGGAACTGAGGGGTTCTTTTTTTCACCAGTGACATTTCTAGAAGCTCCACTTTATCTTCTAATGAAGACCCTTCATTCTCCGCCACCTCCGTGGATCGAGGCGGCGGCTCGTAGTGTGAGTTGTGCTTGATCGATAGGGAGTGGAGGAGCAAAGCGGTGGATTTGGAATTGTGCTTCCGAGTAATAACAACTTCATCTTTTGAGGTAGTCTTGGTTTCGGCGTTCTGGTGATTTTCATGGGGGTGGTTGGATGAGGAGACCAGAAAGAGGCGCCGGCGTTTGCAGGCGGCGGTGGAGAGGCTGACTGGCGCCTGAAAGCTGGGGTAATTGTGGTCTTGGAGACATAGAGTGGCGGAGAGCGAGTGGAGCTGAAGCTGACCCAACATTGAGGATAACTGATGACAGTAAACATTTGCAGGAATTGCAGCAATTTTGTTCACTGGGCCTCTTAACTCAAGTCATGTTCACCTCTACCTGTTACAGTGTAAACCGGATAATGGTGGCATTTTTATGATTTTAGTTTTTATCATCACTAAGATTGAGCATTAATGTAAATGCATTGAATATTAAGAGCCGTTTGGTAGCACGAAAATCGGCTATTTTAGCTGATTCTGCTGAAATTTATGAAGTTCTGGGTGAAGTAGCTGTTTTGGCTGTTTATGTTGTTTTAAGTAAAAATTATTTTTAAAATATATTTTAGTAATAAAATAAGTAAAAAATTACATGTAAAAATAGTTAAAATGGTCATCTATAGTAACTCCAGCCAATACAGCCAGAAAAGTAACTCCAACCTTACTTTTCTGCTTATTACACAAAATATTAGTAAGTACTCGGTCCGTCCCTGAAAAACTTTCAACTTTCCTTTTTTGGCGTCACAAAATAAACTTTCACTTTCCTTTTTAGTAATGAATTTGTTTTTCACATCATTTCTTATACATTTTTCTATCATATGTACAACTCTCCATCATACAATACTCACTATCTTAATCCACGTGCCATTTGTACCATGTAAGAAAAATTAGGGATGGATGGAGTACTTGAATTTGAACAAAAAGCCGCTCTTCATTAATACTTTTGCGGCTAAAACTGTCCGCTGAGTTGTACTTGATGAGTTATTTTTAATACATTTGGTATTGTTATATTTTACTATGTATAATGTAAGATTTTTTAAATTATTTATTTTGTGATGTTAATCATTAACTAAAAAAAACTACACAAAATTGTAAATTATAGGGGCCTTTTATGAAGTTCGACTCAGGCTCTAGTTTAGGTAGGATCGGCACTGGCAGTTGGTTACCCCGTTGGGAGCTGACGTGCATTTCCCCGATGAAGTCCTTGTCTTCGTCAAATCCCCGAACTTTCCTTCCCCAACACTTACGCCGAAGATGAATCGAGGCATGATGACGAAGTTTAAGGTACATTGTTTGTGTTGTTGTAGTTGACACATTTAGATTTTGTGTGTTAGTTATAGCTGTCATTTACCATTTCCATGAAGACGTTGTTTGCTATACATTGGTAATTTATTTATGCATTTGGAATTTCTTCGAATGAGTTATTGATCAGTGTGTTTGACCTAAAGTGCATTACTTTTAGTTGAAATCACGATTGTTAGTTGTGATGTGTAGCATGTTTGAGACCATGGATCTAATAAATCACTATGGAGGGAATTTTGTTTCTGATCCTAAGAAGATATATGTTAGAGGAGCAGTGGATTGTATACCCGCAGATCTTGATGTGATAATCTAAGCTACCCCCATTTGAAGAAATTCTTACAATGCGGAAGCTATGACAACATCATAGGTCTTTACTTTAAAAACCCAAGTGCCCATATGAAATTCTTACATGAGTTGTATGACGATCGGTCTGCACTACATCTTATTGACTTGTCCATAGGTTGTGAAAAACGTCTGTAGATCATGCACTGGATGAGGTTGGAAGATCATCATCATAGGAACAAGTTGAGCCCCACGATCATCATCAGATCACGAAGCAAATGGTGATGAACCAAAGGTGATGAGGCCATAGATGATGGAGAGGAAGATGTAATGGAAGAAAGAGAAGACAACGATGCCCCAGGTGGTGAAAGTAATTGTGAGGAACAAGTTAACCTGCAAGGATATGAAGATGAAAAAAGAAGCACAAGAAGGATATGAAGATGAAAGAAATGCATATGATGGGTTAATTGATGTGCTGTGAGTTCACACCATACTTCCATACCCATGACAGAAAGTGATTTTGTATTTGTATTTGTTTAATTTTATCGAATACGAATTTGAATGCGAATATGAAACGAATATTAACTTTCAATTTGTACTAGTTTTTGTTTAATAATGCGAATAGATTGATCAAATAAGTTAAATATTAGTCAAATATCGATTTGAACATAAGTTAAACATTAGTCAAATATCACTTTAAAACAACTTTTTCTATATTTCTTATGTTATACATGCATGCTATGGCCTATGACTTAATATGCATTTTTAGAATTTAATTTGTAACATTTCATTTTTTTTAAAAAAAATTAATATAACGGATCAATGCATTTTTAGGTTGTGCACAATATACTTAAGTGATCAATTTTAATTTTTTACTATACATAATTATATCTCAATGTTTTTGAAATAAACACCAACTCAGACATATTATATCAGAGATTATACCTATAATGTATGAAATACGTTGATAATTGTGTATATCAAAGTTAAACGACTCTAATTTTATGTTAGATATTTATATTAGCATTGTTGATAATTAAAAAAAACACCATTAGATATAAGTTTATATTACAAACATATGGTGGGTTGTTGATGCACATTAGCACATACACATACTAGATAGTTGATTTTGTTTATGTATAAACAAATATACATTTGATTATTTTTCAAATCAAATACATTATTATTTGTATTCGAATTTGAAAGATGTTTGAACCAAATATCAAATTTGTGTTCGTACTCATTTTCTATATTTTCAAATTTAAATCATAATTTTAAAATCCAAATTACAAATCGACTTAAAATTATTTGTTTGATTTACAACCCTTACTCTTTATGAAACTTCTGATTCATTACAAATTGACTTGGAATATGTATACGTAAATGTATATATATGACCTACATTTTATGGGCATAGCTACACTTTTAAAGTTATTATAGTATTATTACTACTATTATTACCATTATTAGTATTATTTTTATTAATATTATCACTATTATTAATCGAATATATTTGCTTAACATTAGAATCAAATATAATGATGTTTGTATTTGTATTTGCTAACATTTTGAATCAAATTTAGTATTCTTATTTGTATCTATATTTGAATTTTTTGAATTCGAATCATCTTATGCAAATTCGAATCCCAAATCTAACATACTCCGTTTATTATTTGAGGAAAATTATTAGTGTACACAACTTGTACAGAAGTTGTAAATGGTATAAAAGCAAAAAAAAAATCATTTTTCCTCATCCCTCTTCTCTCTCCCCCTCTCTCCCTCGGAGTTCCTTCTCTCTTTCCTCTTTATCCAAACCCTTCAAAATTCTCAAAACAACATGCGATAATCATCTTCTCTTCCTCATCCTCTTCTTCCCTTCTTCATCCTCTTTTTCTCTATCTTTTTATATCAAATTTTATCCATTATTTGCACAAAATCAGTTTATTCGTCTTATCTCATCTATTTTTGTTATTTTTTTTCAAATTACATGTAAAATGATCGCACATACAACTACACCATTCATTTGGATGTATATAGACAATTATTATTTTTTTGTTCACCCAAACAATTTAAATGATCACATAGACAATTAAAGTTGATCACACAGACAATTATTGTATGTGAACCGCATGACTATTGTCTGTGTGGTAAATATTGTCCGTACAACATGAAAATATTGTCTGTGCAAAGATAAGAAAACAACTTGAAATAGCAGATCAACAACCGATCAGGAACCAATGAATGAAGATGAGGTGCAAAAGTTAGATTATTCATGAATAACGAAAAGATGAGACTATTATTAGTTTCAATTTTTCCTTATTCTTTTAGGATGGAGAAAATGGTCAATTGAGTACACCAACTTGTATGGGGTGGAGTAAATAGTACATCATATTGCATTTTATCTTTTTAAGTTCACAAATTCGGGGTTATAGTGTTAATTGAGTACACTTGTTAGATTAACACATTAATATAATGAGTTGGTAAATTAAATGTTGAGTATGAAGGGGTAATGAACCAAGATTATAGCGTCGACCTTTACGAAGTTGATCAAAAAGGGAAAATCAACCTTCAGAGGTCGACCTGCGGGGGCGTCGGCCAGTAGGGGTGCATCGACCAAGGAGATGACGACCCGCGGGGACGGATGTCGACCAAGGGGCTGGGGGCTGGCGTCGACCAGAAGTCGACCTATTAGCATTCTGTTAGCCAACTCAACCGCATTTACATGTTATTCTAATGGGTGTACTCGATTAACACAAAAACCCGAATTTGTGTACTTAAAAAGATCAAATGCAATATAATGTACTCTTTACCCCATTTCATACAAGTTGGTGTACTTAATTGATTTTTATCATTTAGGTGCTACTCTTTACTAAGTGTCTGAAATTACAACTGCATCATTTTTCTACAAGCCCCTTCTCTGCAAAAAGCCAAAAAAACGATTTCCCAAATCTCTGCCCTTGGCACAACAGCACAGGCGCACAAGCTCCTCACGGTACTCGTGCGTCCGGGCCGCTCCTTCAAAGAAGACGGAAGGTACGGGGAACCCATAGTTGAGGTGTACGATCGGAATACTGTAGACTAGGACCTGAGGTACTCGGGTAGCACAGCAGCTTAGGGAAAACTTTTTGTTACTCTGTAAGCTGTCCATTTTCTATGCAATGTGTACCTCGATCTTAATCTTTTGTTTCTCAATCTTTAGATTTCTCTTCAAGGAAAGGTATCTCATCTTATCAAGACTCGACATTTTTTCCCCTGTTCCTTTTTAACATACCTTAATCTTTTGCTGAAGCCTGGTTTGGTGACGTGTAATGAAGGTTTTCCTGTAAACCTTAGTCTTTTCAATACACCTTAATCTTTTTTTTTTTTTTTGTATTTTGTATTACTTTTGAATTGTGATGATTTTGAATTTTTGATCTTTTAAGAATTCTCCAATGCCTTACTCTGCATTTGAGTTTGCAGAATTAGGCATTTGAAGTTTGGACCCTTTATTTGGGGATTCGGTTTCAGTTTTTTTCCACATTGAAATTCAAATATGTTACATTTTTCTTCCCTATTTAAATATCCAGAAAATTCATTAATAGGCTTCAGGCAGATATGTATTGTAATATTGATGCATTAAGTTTGGAAGGCTGCGTGCTGCAGAATTTGGAAGGCTGTCTATTTATCTAATGCCTATGATTAAGTTTAAAGCTAATCAAGTAAAGAATTTGCATTGGGTTTGATTAAGTTCACATAAGTTTAAACGGGTTAAGACTTAGAAACTGATATTTGATTGTTTGGCAGATTTCCTGATCCAAAGTTGATTAAAAGAGGGTTTGCAGTTGCTCAAAAAAAAACGCTTTTCAGCTTTTGGCTTAAAAAAGCTGAAAAGAGTGTTTTCAAACGACAACTTCTGCTTAAATTAATCACTTAAAAGCCAAAAGCTTTACGGAAATTGTCCAAAATAGGACTAATGAGTTCTTAAAAAGCACAAATAGGACTACTACTTTTAAAATTCCCTAAATAGGACTAAACATTGATTTTCTACCCTAAATACCTCTTAGAGTATTAATTCATAATGAAATTCTTTAATTCATAATAAAAATCATAAAAAACGTAAAAAATATTTTAAAAACGTTAAAAAAATTATAAAAAAATTATAAAACATTTATAAAATAAAAAAAATTAATTTTTTTTTTTAAAATAATAAAAAATAGTAAAAATCCATAAAAAATGAAAAAAATTATGGATACCTTTCCCGCCGCCTCCCAGCACCACCACCTCCGATTGGTGAAATTTCTTCCACTTTTGGTAAAAAAATGCCATATTTTTCTGAAAATGCCAAAAAGATGGCATAATTACTCTTCAATATGCCAACATTTTCATTGAATATGCCATCATTATGGCATTATTTAAAATGTTGGCTTATTTTTCTCCGGTGATGGGAGCTGGTGGTGCTGGGGGTGGCAGGGGTGGTAATGTTTTTTTTTTTAAATTTTATGATTTTCTTTTTTTTTTTTTTATTTTTTTTTTTTTGAAAATATTTTTTTTTATTTTTTTAAAAAATATTTTTTTAAATTTTCTATTATTTGTTTTACGATTTTTGGTATTTTTTTTTATTTTTATTAATTTTTTTATGATTTTATTATTAATTAAAACATTTTACAAGTTACAAGGGTATATTTGTCCAAACACACATAAATAGTCCTATTAAGGGAATTTAAAAAAATGTAGTCCTATTTGTGCAATTTTGCCACTTTTTAGTCCTATTTAGGGAATTGACTCAAAGCTTTAAGTAGGTGGAAGGGTGCTTTAAACTGTTTTTCACCTTTTCTATTACACAAAAAGTACTTATTTTACCAAACACTACCAACTTTTACTTTTTTCAGAATCACTTTTTTCTCAAACACTACCAACTTTTACTATTAAGTATTTTCTCCAAAATCATTTAAAAAAATCACTTTTTTAAAGTAGAAGCAATCGCAAACACTCCCTAAGTTTCAGACACTGATTTTATAGCAGTACACATGCTCATAATGAATCCAATTTTTTGTGAATGCTTGGAATATTTAGCTAGTAAGTTTCAAAACTGAATCAGGGGTATTGTGTGAACTGTTGAAAAATAGAGAAAAAATCCAAAAACTTTTCATACACCACAGTAGTATTGAAACATGTTAAACGCTAAAAAAGAAGCAAAGAAAGAACACATCTTTATTAGGTTGAAGTCCCATCCTATGAACATGCAACAAGCGAAGAGGGAGTAGCCAACTTAAGAAGCTATGGAATTAAAGTAGACATGCTCATAACAAATCTATTTTGTTCTGAATACTTGGAATATGTAGCTAGTAAGTTTCAAAACTGAATCAGGGGTATTTTGTGAACTACTGAAAAATAGAGAAAAAATCCAACAACTTTTCATACAGCCCAGCCCAGTAGTATTGATACATGTTAAAATGCTAAAAAGAAACAAAGATAGAACACATCTTTATTAGGTTGAACTTCAACTCATAGATTGTATAAGATTCTGAATGAAATTGAGAATTGACAGGAGATGATACGAGCAGTGATAATGATGAATAATAAAGGGAAACCTCGTATCGTCAGATTCTATGAGTACCAGGTCAGTAAGGCTAAACCCTAAGGGTATGTTTGTGAGTTGGGTTTTGGATGGGAGGGAAAGGTTGACAAGGGTTTATAACCCTCCTTATATGTTTGGGAGTCTAAAAATATGGAAGGGATGGTTTTGGAGGGCTTTTGTAAGTTGTAACCCTCCAAAACCCTTCAAATGCTCAATTTTCTAGTTCTCCCAAATTGGGGGATTTTGAAGGATAACTAATTAAATGACAACTTAAACTCAATTTGAAATAAATATAAAATCAACTATATGGATTCGTCATGTATGTGAAATAATTTTGATTATAACTCGTCCATAACCTATATCTTTTCAAATTTGTTACTGCCAAACAAGAAGGGTGTCCTCGCCTTTCCCTGCCAATGACTAACCTTCAAAACCATCCCTTCCCTTTCCTTTCAAACTCCCAAACATACCCTAATTAAAATGATTCTCTTGTTTAATCCTCAGTGTTTGAGTGTAGCTTGAATTTTTTTGAGGTTAGCCCATGGAGAAGCAGCAAGAGCTTATTCGGAAAATATATGGAGGTTCAAATTCATATTCTCTTTTTCTTTAGGGTCAGTTTGCATGTTAGAAATGCTATAAAAAAAATAGATAAAATTTTGGATGTGCAGAAACTTTGGGGAAGTCTAACAAAAGATTATCGAAACATAATAAATCATTTTGATAAATGTGTTCTAACTCTTTTTATCCAAAATGATAATCAAATTGGATTATCATTCGTATCAAAATAAGAAAACAATTGTGCTTCGCCCCCCCCCCCCCCTTCTAATCTAAGACAATATTTTTGGTTATACATTCTATTGATGATCCATTAATGGCATATTGCAGTTCTATGTAGTAGACCTGAGAACGTGAGCAACTTTGTCAAGGTTGATTCATTATTTGAGTCGGTAGGACTTCCTTTATTGACTACATTTTTTTCCACTGCATTTCCTTTCCTTAGTATATTTCGAGAAGTGTAAAATTAGTGGTGTCCATGAAAAATAAGTACGAACTAAAGATAAGAAAAAGGAAATGAGTATTGCTTATAGTCTTAAACTACTTTTGGTTGTGACTACTTATGGAAATCACAAACAAGGCAAGATTCATATTATGTGCTATATATTTCTCATTTACAGGATGCTCGTCTTGTATACAAGACTTATGCCACACTGCATGTCATATTCATATTTGATAACTCAGAGAACGAGCTTGCAATGCTTGATCTGATGCAAGGTTAGAATGTTTTCATACGTTAAATAGTTGATTTAGATCATTTCAATCTGAAGAAATGTGATACTTATTATGAGCCCAGAGCCCCAGATTGGCTAATTAATACATAGTATTAGGCTATTAGTCTAATGCACCGAGTTTTCCGATACTGCAGTTTTTTCTAATTGGATATTTTGTATCATTTGTAAATTCCAGTTTTTGTGGAGACACTCGACAAGTGTTTCGGCAATGTATGTGAACTCGACGTAGTATTCAATTTTAACAAGGTTAGTATATAACTAATGACACTAATATCAATATATAACTAATGACATTAATTGTTCCCTTATGTATATAATTACAAAATGAGCGGTGAGCACATGCTTCTTGAGTTCTTGATTAAGCCCTGTGTGTGGGTCTGCGGGATAGTGGTTTTGTAAATTGTAGGTTTGCTTGGAACATGGAAAGAAAAAGAGGAATATGAAGAGGAAATTTGTCAAGAAATAAAATGCGTGGAAAAATAAATATTGCTTCAAACCCATGAAATTAAATCAAATATGGTTTTCTTTTATATTTTTGAAGGAAAAAGTTTCCACACAAAATAACATTCGTTACGGTATATATGGATCCTTGAAAGTGTTAGGGAAGGAGTGGGATGCAACTTTTTTATGTATGGTTTTACGGTTTTACCTTAGAGTGCACAGAGAAAATGAATCATGTTATGTTTTTGTATTTTTATATTCAGATTTATTTTTCCTAATATAACTTATAATAGGTAAAATAAATAAATGAGCATCAACGATTATCTATATTAAGCTTATTAAAATTTAGCCTTTGTTTTACACCCCCCACATTTTGTTCCTTCTCATTTTCCTCTTTGTCTTTGTGTTTTCTTTTCTTAGCATTTTTAAGTTCCAAATGGCCCTTTAGTGTTTATTGTCTTTTCCCTGCCATCTTTATCATTGACTACTCTCTATTCAACTACTCTGGAAATAAATTTTCCAGGTTAATGCCATCTTAAATGAGATTATACTGGGGGGTCAAGTACTTGAGACAAGCTCTATGGAAGTGGTCAAGGCAGTTGAGGACATCTCAAAGTAAAGGCACCGTTATTCCCTCTAACTTACTTCCCTTAGATTTGACTTCATCTTTCAAAAGCAAGATCTAAACCATTGATTAAAATACTCCATAATAAAATTTGACCTCTTTCCCTCCCTCCAGGAGGATCCAATGGTTGAGATCCCCACCTACATCTCTTTTTATTTTGTTGCCTACTACTGACAGAATAATCTGATGCACAGGATGGAAAAAGCTTCCAATTCAGTCATGTCTATGCCCCGATGGCAAGGTCGATGACTTACAACAATGTACGTTATGCATCACTTAGCAATATAAGTATCCATTTGGAACTCAGAATATGCTAGGGAAAGAAAACATTGGATGGAGGAAAGACGACTTGGTTCAATCAAAATTAATTTACTTTTTTTTTTCAATTTCATTGTATTTATTTACTTATACAATATAATAATAGAAGATCTAAACTGACTCAAGAAATTTATAAAATCAGTCGTGTTTTCTTGCCCTTTGCTATTTCTGAGTAAAAAGTTAAAAACCAAAGTTAAGAAAACAATTCTGCTTACAATTTTCCTCCTAGCATTTTACAGGATCCATACATAGCCTAAGGGTATACTTTCTCCTTTTTAATCTTTTAAACTTGGAGAAACTTATGTTGGTTATGCAGGCTGGTGAGAAGTGCAGACAAAACCAAGAAGGCTATAATAATGCTCATAGTTACGAAATCTCGATTAAAATATTGCTCGTAGTTATTTCTTTGTCAAGTGAGATGAGTTTTTAATAGTGGTTATGGCACAGAAGGCCCGGAGTGAACAATGTGGTTTGCTTCACTCTTCAGCAGTTCAGCCAAATAAATGGAAGCAGCCTATGCATTACATTGCCATCTGTATGAAAGGAATTCAATCCTTAAAATAAATGCAGCAATAGCAACGATCCAATAATTTTGTTCAACAATAGACTATTGTAGTGATTTATAAACTAGCATTCTCGTTCAGCAAATAAAATAAGATTATACAATGTAGTGATTTAGGCTTATGGATAGAGAAACAGAAATCAGAAGAAAGAAGAAGATCCTGGTAATTCCATCCATGCTCTCTTTCCTCTATCAACTAGCTTTTATATTGCACTTTCTGCCAATCATAATCCCTCAGCCTTGTGCTAGTTGTTTGGAGTCGGTTACTCCTCCTCAATTTCACGCTTTCCACACCTTCGGTCACGTGCACTGGTTTTATTAATGCTGATGTGGCTCCCTCCGACACCTTTCCGGTCTGACTCATTACACTGTATTGGGCCATTGGCTATTGCCTCCCCCAACTCTTGTAGGCTATGCTTGGATCCAGGAAAATGAATGAAAATCCTGAAGAAAGTTATTTACTTATATTTGGTTTAACCTCGGAAATGTGAAGAAAAATTGATATGATCACTGTTTCGGTTTTTTCACTTGTTTGAATTTTTGTAGTATTTATATGATAAAAATAATAAAATTAGGAGAAACAAACACAAATATTTAAGTTTGAATAATGTTTTACTTTTTTCTATATTCTTCTACTATTTCACTCCTATTATCTCCCTCTAGGCTATTCTGAGTTCCAATTTCCAAAGCAGACACATAATGTCTAAGGGTTGGTTTGCAACTGCTTTTAAAAAAGCACTTCTCAACTTTTGGCTTTTAAAAAGCACTTTTTTTTCAAACACTACAACTTTTATTTTTCTCGGCTTCCGCGTCAAAAGTGCTTTTACTTTTTCTATTACACAAAAAACACTTATTTTACCAAACACTACCTATTTTTACTTTTCAAAATCACTTTTTTCTCAAACACTATCAATTTTTATTTAATCACTTCTCCCCATTTCATTAAAAAAAGAAATTTTTTAAAAGCAGAAGCTGTTGCAAATAGACCCTACGTCTTTGGCAAGTTTTAGATGACATTCTTATTTGAAGCTATCTTTGAGTAATAAACATAATTGTTTTTCTTAGTTTTGTATGCAAGTTCGTGTTTAAACTTTTGTTATTTCTTGTTACAGTACTTGTATTAAAAATGTTCAAGCTTCAAATCAGGCGTTCAGCTCACAGAATCAGTTTGGAACATGAAAAGTACTAGACAAAGAAGATCGAGAAGAAATATTAGACAAGTTTGGAAGGAAGAAATGTTTCGCTGAGATAAAGCATTGGTTAAAACTCAATAACTTTAATTTTAATATTTTTCAAACTTATAAATAATTTCAAACTTAAAAATGATTCCAAACTTATTTTTAGTTATTTCATACTCCGTATGTTATATAATCCGGTCTCATAAAGGTTGTGAATTTGAACAGTGATCAGTGTATTTTTTCTGGTTTTGTTGATTTATAATTTTCAAATTCGTCTTTCTGGCCCAATATACTTCGTACTTTTCAATGTTATTTTTAAAATTTTAAAGTTTTATTTAGGGAAAGTTGGGAAAACTATCAAATATGCCCCCTAACTTTTCAAAAAAATCAATTAAACCCCTTTACTAAAACTTCACTCAATTAAACCCTCAAACCCAATAAAATATGGCAAAACCTCTTTTTAACCGGTAACTAATAAGTTACCCGGTTATTATGTACACGTGGCTACACATCTCGTTTTTTCAATTTTTCCATTTTTATTTCTTTTTTCCTTTATTTTTCTTTCCTTTTTCCTTTCCCTTCATCTTCTTTCTAGTTCAACAACTCGTTCTAGGCTTCTAAAAATTTTCAGCCTTCAATCCCTTCCTCCATCTTCTTCTAATCTTCCACCCACCCTTTCTTCCCACCCTTTCTTCTTTCTTCTGCCACCAGTAGGTCGTCGTCGGCAACGCAGTGTCCGAGCGAAACTTAGGACGCCGGATATGCTCAAGTTCCCATTACGCACCGGTCCGGTCATCCCCTTTCCGCGAGTCCATGCCTTGGGAGTCGGAAAACGTTCTCCTTTAAAGCTTCGTTAAGGAATACAAGTCGGAGTCGGAGTCGGTGCTCCGTGAGAGCTCCGGCCAGATTGATTCCAGATCCGGCTGCAGAAAAGAGGGGCAGGGAGGAGGACGAAGTGAGTCGTGGAAGTGCGAGCAGAGAACTAGTAGGGGGAAGCAGAGAGTTGGAGGTGCTAGCGCAGGGAATAAGGGGAAGAAGGGGAGCAGGAAAGAAAGCCTAGGGAAGAGGAAAGAAAAAGAAAAAACTGGCACGTCACCCCACATACACAATTTTACCAGGAATACCTGCTAAAAAGAGATTTTGCAAATTTTTAATGAGTTTGAGGGCCTGATTGAGCTGACTTTTAGTTGGAGGGCTTAATTGATTTTTTTGAAAAGGTCGAGGGCTTATTTGATAGTTTTCCCTTTTATTTATTACTTTAAATTGATCAATCTAATACTTCATAGTATTATCTTACAGATTTCAAGTGTATTGAGCGAGTAAACAACTAAACATGTACTAAGTTTTAAGGATCCGAATGGTATTTCATTTTGTATTACATTTTGAGACAAATCCAAATTTCCCTAAATAAACTTTCATTTCGCTTTTTGAGGATCAACTTAAATCACACTTTCACTCTTACTTTATATATCAAATTTTATAAAAATTGAATTATTTTTTGTAGACTTTGTAGCTGGTTTATTGTAGTTTCTGAATATGTAAATTTTGTTTACTAAAAATAATCCGATTTTTCACATGGATCATTTAACCTTAGCGCTGGTCAAACTTCGTAATCCGTAATTGGAAGTTTTATTAGGGACGGAGGTAGTATCATTTTAAAATCCGAATTGTATTAAAGGATCCAAACACGCTCTTTAGGGAAAAATATGTGCAGGGGGCGCACTAAGTCATCACGATACACAATACTAAGGGAGTGTTTGCAACTGATTAAAAAAGCACTTCTCGACTTTTGGCTTAAAAAAACTAAAAAGGGTGTTTTCAAGTAACAACTTCTACTTAAAAAAATTTCTCACCTTTTGTATAAAAGTGCTTTTTACTTTTTCTATTACACAAAAAGCACTTATTTTGGGGATGTTTGGATATGTTTTTTAAAACTGCTTCTGCTCCTGAAGGAACAGAAGCAGAAGTTGGAGTGTTTGGGTGCAAGTGCAGAAGTGATTCCGGTGCTCTTATTTACCCTGAGAATCAGTTTTTTAGAAGCTGAGGGTGACCAGCTTCTGAAAACCGATTCTGATTCTGCTTCTGTTTTTAAAAAAGAAGTAGAAGCAGAATTAGTTCCAAACACCCTCTTTATCAAACACTACCAACCTTTACTTTTCAAAATCAATTTTTTCTCAAACACTATCAACTTTTACTATTAATCACTTTTCCAAAATTACTTCAAAAAAGTGTTTTTTTAAGCCAGAGCAATTGCAAACACACCCTAACGAGTGCCTATATTGTACCCCCGGGTGTAGGTACATCCGGTTTTTAAAACTGAGTAAATCGGTTTTTTATTACCAAACTCGAACTTGGGAACTGGATTCTTTCATTAAAAAAATTAAAACGTGAGTGGGATTCAATCCCTAGAACTGGAACATAGCATGCGGCCTCCCATCCATCTCGCTATCTTGCCTGGTTGAGAAATTCTGTTGTTTGATGTTCCTTATTGTATACATTTTCATACTCCGTACTACAATTGTGTTAATATTAACTATTCTTTGCTTTTGCTCATTGTAACTATATTAAAAGACTAATTCATATTTTTGAAGTATTTATTTGATCTATGAATCATACTATTAATTTATACAAATATATTTATAATTTTATTATATATTGTTAGGTTCCTAATAAGCCTGATGCTCACCGAAAGTGTTTTAATACTCATAACAGGTCTGATGCACATTAAAAGTTTATTAATACTCATTTAACAAAAATTGTGATTTTCATCTCAATAGATGAGGTTTGATTCTCAATGAATATGTTGTTATGTCAAACTAACAAACTTTACGATTTTCAAATCAAACTATTTTGTAAGTTACGTATACTCATCTGGTACTGATCTTATGCTCATTTTCTAAATGTCATATCAATGCATTTGCTTTAAAGTACTATTTTCATAGGAGTTGATTAGAAATATAATTTAATAAGTTTTTAAAAAGGAAAAATAACAAAAAGAAAGTGAATTAGAAGTTATGAAACAAAGATCACGATTCTGAATATTAGACTTCTAGTACTCAACATAATAGATTTGATGCTCATTAACAGTTCATTAATGCTCATTTACCAGAAACCATGATTTTCATCTCAATAACGGATATTTGAAGCTCAATTAAAATTTCGTGATATTAAATTAAAAAATCTTGCGATTTTCATATCAATGTGTACTTTGTAAGTTGAACGTCATGACATTTTAATTGAGCATCAACCTCCACTATTGAGATGAAAATCACAACTTCTGGAAAATGAGTAATAATGAACTTTTAATGAGCATCAGACCTATTATATTGAGTATTAGGAGTCTAATATGAAATACTCTGTAGTACTTTTAAAATGGTTTGATATGACATTTATAAAATGAGCATATGATCAGTCTCAGATAATCATACTTTTCAAACATCGTCTATTGAGATTGATGAAAATCATGAATTCTATTAAATGAGCATTAATGAATTGTTAATGAGCACCAGACCTATACAAATGAGCATATGTAATTTACAAGATGATCATTGATATGAAAATTGCAAGTTTTATTCGGTGAGCATCAAGACATTTTCGGTGAGCATCAAACCTCCGTTATTGAGTATTAGAATCTGCGATTGAGTATCAAGATTTGTGGTCTCGTGTGTATAATCAACTCTTATATAAATCTTATGTAATATGAGACTTTTGAAATGTGCATTGCTAAAACATTTTAAAAATGAGCATAACCGAGATACTAAATGAATATGCATAATTTACAAAATGAATATTAAAAAATTCAAAAGCTTGTTTATGTATGTTCATATTTTAGCTGTTTTACTCATTTAAGTTTAAGGTAAAACTCATTTATAATGTGCTCAGTATAATATATAAAAAAGAAAAAGTAAACAACAAATAAAGAAACGAAAAGAAGTAAAAAAGTAAAAGACAAAATAATGATGAAAGTAAAATAGCTAGCAGTAAAAGTAAAGAAAAAAAAGACAACACATTAAAACGTACCAATCAAAAATCAGAATGGATGGGGGCAGAACTGCAGAAGATAGAAAAGAAAGGAAAGACCGAAAGAGGACGGCAGAAGAAAAGAAAGGAAAGAGAACGCCAGAAGAGAAGAAAGGAAAGAGAACGCCGGAAGAAAAGAAAGGAAAGGAATGCGGCGGAAGAAGAAAATAAATCAAACGTTCTTTTAACAACCGTTACATAAAGCTCACATGATGGTCCCATGGTCTAGCGGTTAGGACATTGGACTCTGAATCCAGTAACCCGAGTTCAATTCTCGGTGGGACCTTTTTTCTCTTTTTTGCCAGTGGCTTTTTTCCTTCAAAAGAAGTCAGTTCCGTTTTCTTCCTTCCAGCTGAAAAAGGACGCGCTTTCTGTTTGTTCTTTTACCTTACGCGCATGTCAAATCAAGAATCTGGATACTAGACACTTGTGAGTTGTGAATTGTGATTTAGATAATTTATTACACTCATCATCAAATTAAAAATAAAGGACAATTAATTTAGATTGGATCCCACATTAGTATTTAGGCCTGAGATCGGTTCTTGTTAAAATTTGATGGAATCGTATAAAAATCGTAGGCGTTAAATTCGGTTCGGTTCTAGTTAAAAATGTACTCCGTAGTTGTTTAATTCGATTCGATTCTAGTTAAATTCGGTTCGGTTCTTACCCTTTTTCGGTTCCTAACAAAAATTTATTATCCACCTAAAATGAACATATTTTACCTTAAGTTACATAAAAAAATTCAAATTTTAAATCACGAAATTATGACCATTACATTATACACGCATGATATCTCAATTTTCAAATATCCAAAAAAATATCTAAGTGCAACATTAAATTTAAACATAACAAAAACCTAGATTTAAAATAAGCATCAATTGTCAAGCAAAAAGGTTCAATAGTTCCACAGTACACATCCAATATCAGGTAGTTCAACCCCAAAATAATATTCTTCTACTAGTAATGCACAATAAGTAAAAACTACGCAGTAACAAATAACGCGATCAATAGAATGTTAATTCTTTTTTTAGGTGAACTCCAATAACAAATGCAATTACAAAAAAACAATAAATATAAAAAAGGACTAATGTATTAAAATGATAACTACTCAGATTGTCCTGGTCCACAATATTTAAGGTATATTATGCAAGAAAAATATTCTTGACAAGAACTTTTTTGCTCGGAACGCCGCCTGGCCACCTCCATTTGAGGTGCTTCCGTGAACAATTTTTTGATAATGTTTTGTGAGCATGTTCTACATGAAATTTAAATTACATATATCAAATTTCAGCTTAAAATTCAATCGGGGAGTGAGTTAAATAAAATATTGAAAATTTGTGTTTTTATATATTTTGGCGTAGTGTTTTTCAATAATTTATTTAACTAAATTCCCAATTGCATTTTAAGCTCAAATTTGGTGGACATAATCTTTATTTAATAGAAAACAACCTCACAAAATTTCATCAAAAAATTCCACCCAGAAGCACCTCAGATGAAGATTACTCCTGCAATGTATGAGAAGTTCGGTTCCTGGCCAGGAACCGGAACCGAACTGGAACTGAACCGATGAAAGACTATAGGAACTGAATCGAAAAAAACTGAAGTCCAAAATTATAGGAACCGAACCGAACCGTAAATTTCGATTTGGTTCGGTTTTCCCGGTTTTCGGTTCCAAGTCCCAGCCCTATTAGTTTCTCTGCATAAATATCGATTCTGAAATCCTAAAGTTATCCGCATCTTTGGATCGTTGATAAACATAAATATTAGTCCGTAGATCTCCCTATCTTTTTTTTGGATAAAATGTAAATATATATTAACACCCAATCAAAAATAACATGTATAATGTGTCCAAAAATCTAAAGCCCCTCACCTCCTCCTATTTCGTGTGAAAAGAGAGGGTAAGGAGAGACTTTTAACCTATTCCAAATCCAAGACAGCCAATGCATACGACCCAAAAAATCTAAGTCTATGACCGATGCTGCAAGGTGCACTCACTCGAATACAAACTGTCTAATGTCGTGGCATTCAAAAAAATCTTGATTCTTCTCAAAAGTTGATCATCTCATATGGGTAGACACTAAAGAGTGTCTTGTAGACCATATGTTTGACCTCAGCAACAACATCATCTTCCGTAATCTTGCCTTCATCAAATCTGATAGAATTCCTCGCATGCCATATATAGTATGCCGCGACACACAAGGCTAACCGGGCTGCATTCGCCTTCATGTTTGCTCCTTTGCGACTCTTCGAAATCCACTTGACCGCACTAAGCAATGTATTCATTTGATGTCCAAATCCCACCCAGCTTTTGATCCTCTCCCACACCCTACACGTCAATGGGCAAGAAAAAAATAGGTGTGAAATTGTTTCCAATTTACCCTTGCATAGGTCACAACGATTCACAATATGAAAGTACCCGAGGCTATCCTGAGTGGGTAGCCTATTTTCGTAGTGTCAACCAAACATTAAACGAGAGTTTGGGTGAAATGTAGGATTTCCAAATGAAACTCATTGGGGTCCTAACCGTCCCCTTTACTCTCAAAAGCCGATCAGTTTACCATTAATGGATCTCTATCAATTTCATCAATAGAGTTGTTTTATGTATTTCAACTCCAAAATATGAGTTCGTATACATTTACATGTTCTTTTTTGACATATCGGCTTTATAAAATATTACATGAACATCTTTTGAGTAATCATAAAGTAAGAATAAAGTAAGAATAAGGTAATCATTCTTATTTTTGAGAAAAATGAAATTGTGTTGTGAGTATTATACTGATAAAGTGAATAAAATAAGAATGAATTGTAATCATTCAAATACTCCCTCCATCCCGCTATGATTGTCCCATTTTATCATTTCGGTTCGTCCCACTAAGATTGTCTCATATTTTATTTGGTAAAGTTTGTGTGGTTCTAAATCATTCATACTTTATTCTTACTTTATCAATTCAATTCTCACCATATAAACTCACTTTTATTAATAATCGTGTCACCTTCTCTTGTCCCGAACTTAGGGGGACGGAGGTAGTATTCCCAAATTATGTGACAAATTTAATGGGTCAGACAAAAAGATAAAATGAGATCGAGATGAACACATTGGAGTACTACATATATGTACAAAACACTAACAATTTAATTTAATGTGCTAAATTATACGCCCCCCTATTATTGAGACAAAAGGGAAGGGGCACACCAACCAAGACAAAAACAACTTTTTGATAAAGTAACCAATCAAAAAGCAAAAACTCAATCCTACAATAGTAGATCTCTATAACTCCATCATCAATTCATCAAATGTACTTTTTACTTAGCAAATAAGGTACCTGTATAAAAGAATAAGAGTCAATTTCCTAAATAGGACTAAAAAGTGGCAAAATTGCACAAATAGGACTACATTTTTTAAATTCCCTTAATAGGACTATTTATGTGTGTTTGGACAAATATACCCTTGTAACTTATGAAATGTTTTAATTAATAATAAAATCATAAAAAAATTAATAAAAATCGAAAAAAATACTAAAAATCGTAAAAAAAATAATAGAAAATTAATAAAAAATATTTTTTTTAAAAAATATTTTTTTTAAAAAAAAATAAAAAAATAAAAATAAAAATAAAAAAATCATAAAATTTAAAAAAAAAAACATTACCACCCCTGCCACCCCCAGCACCACCAGCTCCCATCACCGGAGAAAAATATGCCAACATTTTAAATAATGCCATAATGATGGCATATTTAATGAAAATGTTGGCATATTGAAGAGTAATTATGCCATCTTTTTGGCATTTTCAGAAAAATATGGCATTTTTTTACCAAAAGTGGAAGAAATTTCACCAATCGGAGGTGGTGGTGCTGGGAGGCGGTGGGAAAGGTATCCATAATTTTTTTCATTTTTTATGGATTTTTACTATTTTTTATTATTTTTTTAAATAAATTGAAAAAATAAAAAATTAAATTTTTTATTTTATAAACGGTTTATAAATTTTTTATAATTTTTTTACGTTTTAAAAATATTTTTTACGTTTTTTATGATTTTATTATGAATTAAAGCATTTCTTTATAAATTAATACTCTTAGGGGTATTTAGGGTAGAAAATCAATGTTTAGTCCTATTTAGGGAATTTTAAAAGTAGTAGTCCTATTTGTGCTTTTTAGGAACTCATTAGTCCTATTTAGGACAATTTCCGAGAGAATAATAGCAGAACATTCAAAAATGAAAAAAAAAACAATTATGGGGGGCAAAGGAAGTATCTGAATTAAACATTTCTTTCTAAATGAAAGAAAACTATTCTTTCTTTTTTCATTTTTTCATATTTTTTATTTCAAATAATAAAACATTTTATAAATATGTTTTTCAATAATGGAAAAGATACCGCCAATTGAGCTATTTCGATCCAAATTTAACCAATATTAGCAAATGCTGTCGATTACACTAATTCCACTGTTATTAAACAAGTTCTACCCTTCTACTACTACTGATGATGTTGGTAGTAATTGTAGCAGTAATATTGGAGTGTTTTTAAATATTACTTAATTAAAACTTATTTACTAAATTACTAGTATGACTACACGTACTACTACTACTACTACTAATAATAATAATAATAATAATAATAATAATAATAATAATAATAATAATAATAATAATAATAATAATAATAATAATAATAATAATAATAATAATAATAATAATAATAATAATAATAATAATAATAATAATAATAATAATAATAAATAATACCACCGGTGCAACCAAGACCGAATAATTACTTACCAGCCAATCTCTTGCTGTCCCTTGCTCAGTTGCTCTTTCCCATGGACAAAAAAAAATCTTCCAGATCCAACCAATCTTTGGTGTTAAACTAACCAATCATCTCATTCACAATTCCTAAATTAAAAAAGAGCCTAGAAATTTAGCACCAAAAAAATGAAGAGTAGAATATACATCCAACAGTAGCCAATGGAAGCCAAGCTGCCAAGAATGGGTAGCTAGCTTGCTGTGTTATTATAAACAACAATCAATGAATCAAAATTAAAGATCACTCATTCAGTTGGTCTCGCCACACGCCACATCATCCAACGGTTCCGGGAATATCTCCTTCGACCGCCTACTCGACGATGAATGCCCTCCTCCCTCCCCACCACCGTTGGGCCCACTCCCTTGCGAGCCTGAAGTTCTAGAACGTTTGAAGCTACTCGTCCCTTCCGCCGCCTTATTCGTTGCGTGCACGTCCAAAGAGCTTTGCCGCCAGCTGCCAAACAGGGCCCCGTTCCACGAACCTCTTGACGAGGTGGCCTTGAGCCTGGCAGACCCTGCTGTGTGGTGCTCTTCCCTCACCACCTTCAACGGGTTTTCCAAAGCTTTAAGAATGTATCTCATCAAAGGCCGCCTTGCAGGCTTGGGATTGAGGCATGACCTGGCAACGATGGCCATGGCCCACACTTCCTCCAATAGGTCTTCATCTATGATCAGAGAGGGGTCCACAATTTTCGTTACCAACTCTTTGTCGTATATGCTGATATATGGCAATGTCCGGTCCAACCACTCCTTCGTGTTGCCATCATCGGACCCGCTGAAACCTAGTCTGCCAGTCACTAGTTCAAGCAACACCTTCCCAAAACAATAGACATCATAGGTGCATGAGGCGGAATGTGATGATCCTGATCATTCATTTCGAAAGGGGAAAATGTACAAATAAATTAAGTTAAATACTACGCATATACCAACTGGCTGCAAAGAACTTGTATGATATATATATATATATATATATATATATTCAAAGAAAATAAAATAGACTTTATGTTTCCATCCCTTGTAAATGAAACGTCTTTGCTTTAGGTCCCTATGAAATTACATTTTTGTTTTCCATCAATTTTTTTACACAGCTTTCTTTTTAATCCCTCTCCATCAATGTCAATTTTTATCTAATAAAACATTGGCCACAATTATGGCTAAGCAAAAAACTCAGGTGATGACTACTAAAAGCCTAAAACAAATGATTTTGTGAAGATCTATTTAAAACAACTCTATTTTTATTGCACTGAAATAACAACTGCGATTGATGAAATTTGTTTAAGGTACATTAAGAGGGGTGTGATGTAAATGACTGAGTAATAAATAAATAAATAAATTAAGACTTATGACGGAAGTGTACCTGACGAGCCTTGATCCGATGTTCTGCAAGCAAAATAGAAAAGGCAGTTCAATGTAAACAGTTTTCACATTTTAAAGTACAGAGCAATCTTGACTTGTTCATCATAAATTCATAATCATGCAAATTGTTTTATTTTAGTTTCTGTTTTAAAATCACATGGACAAATATGTAGCAATATAGCATTAATCACATGAAAACTTAAGTTGCAGACAAACTTATGAAGTTCCTATAACCGAGCTTGATCAATTATCCGGTTGAAAAGATTTAAACCAAAAAGGGGGACATTACAACTATGTTTCCCTTGAGACAAGGAGAGAATAATTGACTAATTGAGAATAAGAACAATAGTTCGCCCATAATGATATCTACTTTCCCTAATGAAAACAGCTATTTTTTAATTTTACAAATTCACTACTTGCCCCTTATCTATTTAAAAAAGATTTTGCAGATGGCCCCACTTGAGGGACAATTTTGTAAAGTGCATTACATTTATTTTGCTTACCCTAAAAACCGTGCTAAAAGAAAAAAGAGTCTAATAATTTGATATGGAGCTATAAAATAAAGCTAATCATCAGTGACTAAATAGCAAAATTACAGTTTTAATTTTTGATGATAGAGGATAATGAAGAATAAGAAAATTGTTTATTTCTTGGATAATTAAGAATATTTTGAGCATTAGATATTAGTTTCTTCCTCTGTATTATGAGTTTATGACTATTATCTACTGAGCACTAAAAGACGAATCCACCAAAAAAGAATTTTGAGGCCATCCACAAAAACCAATGTAACAACAAAAGAGTAAAACATAGTAGCAGAAAATATTCTGTTTCCTTGAGCACCCATAACTGGACTCCCCCAAAGCAACAAGAAGAAGAAGTAAGTGATATTACTTACTGTTGGAATCGTAGCAATCTGGAAATTCTATTTTGATGAGTATCTACTTCTTGTGCACAAACTTCACTCAGGCTCCCTAATCTCACTTCAAATTTATCGTCCAGCAGTATGCTACTGGATTGAACATCTCTGTGCAAACATAGAAAAACACAGCCAGTCATTAAAATGACCTCCTAGCTTTTTCAGTTCATTCCTTTCACCACATGATATTAGAAGATATATATTTATTTTTTTAGTTTTGTTTCTTTTTGCTTTGTTACGAGCTGCGCTTTCAATTTTACATAAACACAGGAAACTTAATAAAGCTATAAAAGGAAAAGAAAATCAAGGTATGTCAAAGATTGGCAATGGTGAAAAGTAAAAACTGACCTCTTGAGAGGGAATCTTATGGAAATAAACTTATTTCAGCTAAGACAAATGGTTTTATGCAACAAATTACTAACAATGTTCTATCATGAAGAAAACTTAAGGTGGCCAAACACGGCAAATTAATAAAAGGTCATGATAGAATTCTTAAGGCGGCCTAAGACCCCTTATAAAAGGCTAAAGGATCTCCTAGCAACTTTGATGCAATAATATCAAAGCAACTTTTTATGTGAAGACATCAAAATCAACTCAAAGGTCATAGTGAATTTTATCACGAAATACTATTTATGTTAAAGGTGGTGTTTGAAAAGTTCCTTACATTTACAGTGTGTCTGGACAGTGGAAAATACTAATGGAAGGGAGGATGTTAAGGAAATTTATTTTCCCAAAAAATCCTTTTCTTCCAGATTTCATCTCTCTTTTCCATCCTTAATTATTTTTTCTAGTATTTTCCCGGTCCCAAACAAACCCTTAGTCATTTACTAAAAAATAGAAATAAAAGGACATTTAAGCCATGTGAACAAGAACTAAGCAAATAATTAGCACTAAATCAGAGCACTGGTCAGTCTCATACGATAGTATTAGGTATATTATGCAAAATCAAGCTTCCATGAAGTGCGAAACAAGATGGCACTTGGAAGTTTTTTTAAAATACCTGTGCACAAGGGGAGGAGTAGATTCATGGTGAAGATAAGATAGAGCCTCAGCAGCTCCAATTGCAATTTTCAGCCGTGTTATCCAATCTAATGACTGTAAACTTCCATCATCAGAATCATTTTTCTTAAACAAAGAGCTTGAGAGATCTCCATTCGGCATGTACTTGTAAACCAGAAACTTCTGGTTCTCATTCTCCAAGCAATGCCCCAAAAGAGGAACTATCCTTGCGTGAGAGGCTTTGCTGAAGAAGCCCAGTTCCACCAAGTACGCCTCCTTCTTCACCGACTCCAAATCAATTCTTTTTATGACCACAGGGACCCCACCTTCTAACAAACCTCTGAAAAGATCACCGGAATGTCCATTCTTCATTAAGTTTTCAATTTTGAAATCTGAGGTGGCTTGAAGAATCTGCTGATAAGTAAATGCATCTCCTAAACTTGAAAGGTTCAATGACAATCCAGAAGGAGGGGGAGTTGATCCTGTAGGAACGGGTCCCACCCCCGTACCTCTTTGAGTAGCCGTGCTCTTCCGTTTGCATATTAACAGCACCGAGGAAAAAATCAAAATCAGGGCTATTAACAATCCAACGCCACCTAATACAGCTGCCAATATAATTGTTTTCCTGTGGCTCTTACTGGATCTTGGTGGAGGAGGAGTGGGGAGAGGTTGGGTGGTGTTTGATTGCCCAGAATCAAACACCAGTCCCCTTGCCTTGTAAAACGAACTACATTCACTTCCACCCCTTTGACTTTTCACGTTTTGGAGGCAGTTTCTGTTTATAGACACATTTCCATGCACAAAGCTAGGAACTTTACCTTCAAAATAGTTACTCGACAGATCAATAAAACTAAATCTGCGAACCACAGTGGAGAGGTATCCGTAAAACTCATTCTGTGAAAGGTTAAAAAATGCAGTGGAAGCAGTGGCAGTCGAAGTGACGTTAGGCAGATTTCCCGTGAATCTATTTGCAGAGGCATCAAGGAATTGCAACGCGGGCATTGACCACAATGCAGCAGGAAAGGAACCAGTAAAATTATTATGATCCATTGACAAGGACTTCATCTTAGTTAAAGGAAGGAACAAATTAGCAGACAAAATCCCAGAGAGTGTATTGAAGCTGAGGTCAAGGACAGTGAGACTAGAAAGATTGCTGATATCGAACGGTATTGAAGAAGACAAACTGTTTCCAGAAAGATTCAAGAATCTCAACTTTGACAAACTCCCAATGGCAGGGGGAATGACCCCATTAAGTGCATTCTGTGATAAATCAAGAAAAGAAAGGTTGGGTAATTGACCCAAACTAGTAGGAACCATCCCAGTAAGTCCATTCCGTGACAAATGAATCTCAGTTAAACTACTCAAGTTCCCCAGAGAGGCTGGCAAAGAACCTGTGACTGAACAAGCAGTGAGATCAAGAACTTGAAGAGAAGTCATTCTATGGCCAAACCATTCTGGGATAGAGCCAGGAAGCAAGAAAAAAGAGGCATTAAAAGTTGTCAATCTAGTTAAATTCTGTAGGGCATCCACCGAGAATTGAGGGTTTTGACTTCCAATTCTTGTGCGCTTAAACCTGCTGATATTGATCCCCACTACCCTACCACTCGAACAATGAACACCAACCCATCCCGAGCAAGGGTCAAGCTTTATAGGCCACTCTTTAGCCCGCAGCCCTAGAGATGTTCTCAATTGCAGCAAAGCCAATTTCTCATTTCTTGAACTCAAAGACTGTTCGAATGTAGAGTCAACCAGCAACAGAAAGATTATGACCCAAACCACTCTCCACTGTTGCCGCACCATTTTCGTCCCCACCTTCAAATCCCCACTCCTTCCCTCACATTCATATGCAAGTGCGTGTGTCTATATAGGTAGATAAGAATGGGTATATACGCCACCCAGATGCGGCGAACGTGGCTGAAAGTGTTCTGGTCTATATCTATAAGAGACAAAATTAGGGATTCTCAGTATAGAGACAAAAATATACCTTTGCAGAATGGGAATGAATCAGAAGCTCAGATATGGCGGTTTCTTGCTGTTCTTGAAAAGTAGAAGCACGACTCTTCTCCTTCCCTATCTCTCCTGTCTCATCTGCAGTTCTATTCCTTTCAGTGTCCAGCGTTGACGGATGAGACATATGATCAAAAGAATGGTCAAAGATGGGGTTTTGGAGAGGGGAATGGGAATCCAATGGTTCAGATCAAGAGCTGGGGTGTGGGGGCGAGAAAGGAAAGTGATTTTTATTCTTTATTGGTTTCTTGAGGCATTTTCTGGAAAGGAAAGGTGCAGAACGATTTTCCATTCTCAGCACCTTTGTGGGTTGGCTAAAAGGCTGGAATCACGCGGTTTTAGTCTCAGCACCTTTGTGGGTTTTGGCCTTTAGGCCCCCAATTCAAGTGCATCCACAGTTACAAAGGGTTGTTGAATAACAAACAGATGATCATAACTAATGTTGCTGAGCAGCTCAACTCCTATTCTACTTTGAGAGTTTGAGACCACTTCCACTGGCGGAGCAGATATTATGCCCCACAAACCCAATAAAAGAATTATCTTTTCTCTCAGCTACAATTATACTCAAAATCATTTGTTAATTAATGATGATTAGTGAATCATGGCGTTCGTGTTTTAATTACTCTGGGATTTATATCTTTTTAATGATTTGTTAATCACTTGCACTCATTCTTTATGTTTGCTGATTTGTATCTTTTCGAAACATTTTGTTTATACTACACAAAATCCTAAATTTAAAGTTTGTATAGTTGACTAGGATAAAGTAAAGCATTGTCATCATATACTCACAGAGATAGTTAAATGTTTATAATTGAAATAAATATTCTTTATAAAATGTGATCACTTAAATATAGTGATTATAGTAACATATGCTCAATCTTTAGAGCCCGTTTGGTAATACCCAAAACAACTGTATTGGCTGATTCTGCTGAAATTTATGAAGTTCTGGCTGAAGTGGCTGTATTAGCTAATTCTTCTAATTTAAGAAAAAATTATATTGAAAATATAGTTTATTAACAAAATAAAGAAAAAAACTATATGAAAAAATAGCTGAAATAATATCTACAATAACTTTAGCCAATACAACCAGAAAAGTAACTTCAACCTTACTTTTTCTTATTATTACACAATTCAGCGCGCGAAATCAAAAGTTACGTGTTTGTTGAAAAAGCTGACTGATAAGCTTGATAAGCCGAAAAACAGCGTTGTCAAACGGGCTCTGAATGTATGTGACCATGACATCCTACTTTAGTAGTTTTCAATAATATTTTTGTAAATCAAGTCTTATTTTAATAGTATTTTCAAAAAGCTTTATTAGTTACACTTTGTTCTAAAGTATCCTTTGGATATTTGTACCCATATGGAAAAAACTTACCTTTTTTAAAATAAAGGTGTAATATGACAACATTAATGAGGCCCTACACCGTTACATGTCCGGCCCGTCATGGTTAGAAAAATAAAAAAATTGAGGAATTGATTTCTTTTTCAAACCATACCATACAGGTTTAAAAAACAATACAATTAATCATCAATTGAAAGAAAGCATGATACATAGACTACATGGTATAGTATGATGTTACTGTCACTATTGTGGAAATAAAGTATAGCCGGTTAGTCCATTAACTGGAAAATTGAAGTTGTAATGATGTATAGCCTTTGTAATTCTAGTTGCCAAGCAAAATAGGAAAAACGTTTTCTTTAAAAATCTTTTAGAAAAGAATACATCTTATGTAAACCATATTGTTCGACTATTTCACGTAGCAAAATCATGAGAGAAAATTCACGGGAGAAATATAAGTATATAACTGCACACAAAATGATGAAACATAACACATTTTATACTATAGCCTAGAATGGGTATAAAAAAATCTCAAAATTAAAGGTTTATGAGATGTATTCTTTGAGAATCACTAACCTATAAAACAAATACTACCCCGACCTCATAAGAGGAAGTATAAAAAGATAAACTTTTAACTAATTGTTAGCTTTTCAACTGAAAAAATCTTAAAAGAAAAGATGTATAACTATATGATAGAAATTGACCGTTTGATTTCGTTTTTTGGCACGACAACCTTTCATGATTAATCGATTTTAAAAGTTACTGCTGACTGTTTGGTGTCGATTTTAAATGACACCCTATCTCTGACGGCCCCCACTACTGACTGTCTTAGTAGCTACTCAATGTAGATATGTATATTCTCATAATAGATCGATCAATTCTTTTTTACAAAATCTCTCAAAGATTGTCATGTCACTCATAGAATTACAAACTTTTATAATCTTTTAAAATAATACAGTAATTAGAAAGTAGGGTTATGCCTGCTAAACGTAGTAAAAAGTAGGGAGTAAAAATTGATCAAGCCAACAAAGCGTATAAATTTTAGAGGGTGTTTGGAGGAGCTAAAATCGGCTGATCATCCTGAAACTCCAAAAAAAACACCAAACGGTCATTCAACCAGCTTATTTGGCTGATTTCTATTATCAGTTCAAAAACCAGCCTTAGAGTTACTTTATCAGCTGATTACTATTTTTTTGCGCTTATATAGCTTTAAAAGACGTTTGTATCCTCTTCAATGCAGAACGTAAGTTGATCATGTGAAACTTAGTTGCTGCTGTGCAATTACGAATTAAACAAATGCCTTTTCTAAGTTTTTTTTATTGAATATACATGTATTGGTAAAATTAGTGGCTGCTGTATGTGCAATTATAAAAATGTCTTCTAAGCTTTTTTTTACAACACGCATATTGGTAAAAATGAGATGCTGCTAACATTCATATATTCAAAATACAAAGAAAGTAATACCCCTTTTGGTAATTTTACATGAAATCAGCCAATTCGGCCAAAATACTGTCAAACACTTTCACTTCAGAAATTTCAGTCATTTAAGCACTTTCAGCTCTTTCAGCCATTGCCGTCATTGCCAAACAGGTCGTTAGTTGTCTATTTAGTGGGTTATTTGCGATTTTGCTGCTTAATTACTTGCCCCTATATCTTTAAATACCGGATTTCCATGAAAAGTTCGTTGCTAGGAAAATTTTGCGACAATGATTAGCGGGACGGTGTATTGAGTGACATACTAAGAGTGAAATATTTAGTTATTTTTAAGTATTTCAAAATGTTACTAGTACATTTTCATAAAGACAGTTACGAACGTATATAAAATAACATGTAACCACTATTTGGTAAAAACAAAAATAATAATTTGATAATAATATGATTCACTCGATCATCTAAAAATGTGGGAGAATCTGAGTCATTTATCACGCTAATGTGCTATGTATCGAGAATATGTCGCCATGCTTCATATATATTTCGTATAATAAGGTACTCCATTTGTCCATGAAGTAACCCATTGTATGGATTACCTAGCTGGCTAGCTATATACTCCGTATATATTACAATTGCAATATTCAAAGCAAATAAGTAAGTGGTTAATTTTTTTGGATACGGCAGAAAAAGATGTTCAAATTACTAGCTACATTCCAAAGATCTCAAAACAATTCGTGTCCATCCTAGAGGATTTGCCAAATACTGTCGTGTGGCTCTTCTTTTGACGAGGTTTCATATGTTAAGTTGGTCAATTTATGTACATATCGGTTGTCCTTATGGAGCAGATATGTTGCAAAAATGACAAAGCTTCATATGTGTAGGGCCACTCAATCGTTCACGAGAACCTTCCCAACTCATCTCAATATGAAAGTCTTTTTTACGCACTTTAGTATCGTATACTGAATGTTTTATTTATGTCACACAAAAAAAGCTTTTTAAAAGAGTGTAAAAGAGTGTACACAATAAAGTGTGTAATTGTTATCTCAATATATAATCTTCCATCTTTTCATTTAGAGGATATTGCCAAAACTAAGATAAAAACATATTCGATTAGGTAGTAGTATTTTTTCAAAATCAAGTTCTATATTTGGTTTTCATTAAATAAGACTAAATAATACTACCTCCGTCCCCCTAAGTTTGAGACAAGAGAAGATGACACAGTTATTAATAAAAGTGTGTTTATGTGGTTGATATTGAATTGATAAAGTAAGAATAAAGTAGGAATGATTTAGAACCACCACTACAAGCAAACTGACATTCTATGACAGACAAAAAGTGTCAAGAAAACAAGTAAAAGTGTCAAGGTAGACACTTATAGGATTTGCCAACACACACAAAAAGTGTCACTAGGAACGGTGTTAGGAAAAACATTTCTTCACACTCAAACACATGTGTTGGCAAATCCATTTACACTTTTCTTGACACATAAGTGTGTCAAGAAATGTACTAAGCCCCCAACCTTTTTTTTTGTGTCAAGGAATGTATTTGGTGACACACGTGTAAAAGAAATTCATGTTTCCTTATTTTCGTGCATAATATGCTAGCTAAAAATAACTCTAATAGTCTAATGCATGTTGATATTAATAATAAGAATGTATTGACCGGATAATCTCTTCACATTGAAACTCAAAAGTCACCCGAAAATGTTTTAAATACATCATAAAAACAAAGATACAAGAATAGTTTGTCCTTAAAAACATGCAAATTAAGAACAGAAGTCGCAAGGCAACAATATACTAAATCTCTAAGTAGCTTCTTTTCATTGATGGCTTCCGGTTGATTTGTCATATTTGTAGGCAAAGGTTCACCGCCAATCATCTGCAAAATGTGGGGTAGGATAGAAATTAAAACTCTGTTGTTAAAATAAGTAGAGAGCCAAAAATAAGTAGAGAGCCTAATAAGATATTTCAAGCAAATAATAAAAAAAAATCATAAATCTTTAAAGTGATTTATCATAGAAATTAGAAAGTGTATTAGAATCAATCCTCACAAAAACTGTTCATCACAACAATTGTCCTGCACTTGAAAACAGTCAATAAAACGTTTCTGAAAAATACATGACAAAGCCTAGAACCAGAGCTCAATCCACCAAAACCAATCAAAAATCCACTTGACCAACAGTAATATGTAATTTACCATGCGCTTCTTCATAAATTATGAGACCAGACAAACAGATTTGGAGTTAGACTTCAAAAGCAGTCTGAATTAAAGTCTAATGAGCTGTTTTATTAGTACTCAAAACTAAGAGCAGAAGACAAATAGAACACAGAGTATAGACAGATGCACTTGAATCCCACAGAGCAACTTCTTTATAGTGTCTATTTATTCTAAACAATATGTCGACACCAAAATTGTAGGCCACGACTAAGTCCTAACATAATTGGGAATAAGGTGATGACCATGATGACGATATTATTGATGAGGACCATCTTTTCTAATATAACAAATGGCTGTAAGTAAAAAATGATTTCCTTTCTAAGCTTGCATTAATAAGTACTCCGTAATAAAATTAAAAATTACAGTATGAAGTTTACAACAGCTAAAGAGGTGTACCCATGTTATTGAAAAAAAAAGGAACCTGAACACTAACATACCTGATCAAACCGTCAATCTCAGTTGCAAACTTTAATAACCCAAACCTTACTAAAAGATCAACTTTTTCTCCCTTACAGTCTGGTTGTTCAGTTCCTAAATGAACAATGAACATTATATTATT